GAAATCTTTGTTATGTTGTAAAATGAAATTTCATTTATTCTTTTTTAGAATCTTTTAGTATGTCGAAACAAATTTACCTAAGTTATATGAACTTATTAAATTCATCCACCTAATCTACAAGTATGATCAGTCCAATAAGTTGAACTTATCGTGTTATAAAATGACTGGATTAGTTGCTTATATACTTAAACTATTACAACAAAACACCATTCTTGAAGGACACGAATAATGTATTGAAAGAAACTAAACAACTATATAATGTCTAAAGTTGAATATTAACACCATTTTTTTCTAATGTTCACCTGATGAAGATTAGAGGGTTTGTTTAGAATAAAATAGAACGAAGTTTAGTATCAAATTCTATACAGAAGTTACAGTACTTATGCACAATGAGTATAAGTTCAATGGTGAAATTTATAATCAATTAAAAGAAGAAATTGCAGGTAGTCCTATTGGACTATAAATGATGATATATCTATGAAGTAATCATATAATGATTCATTTTAAATTGTATCAGCTGACTTCGTTTAGATTGCAGGCACGTAGATGAATGTGGTTAAGCACGAAGAATATGTTTACAACGAAACCTAGAATCCTTTTTTTTCTAGAATAATCAGTTCTTTTGACTTGTATTTATTTTGAACTCACTGCTTGATCTTTATATAGAATACAAAGTTGACCAAATCGATAACCAGGTCGTGTTTACTAAAAAATTAACTAAAAATTTGAAAATGGATATATTTTTAAGACAAAAGCAGACTGGAGTGAAAAACATATCACTTTTGTATATGTCAACGAAATTGTAGTATACATTAAAGAAGAAAAAGGTTCTCAAGAAGTGTGATATTAAATCAAATAAGCAACAGCAAAATAAATACAATTCTAGTTTTACTGGTGTCCTTTTTATTTTAAGTAATGTTAGTGGAAATATTGAGTTTTCAACTTATTTCCTGAAAATGTCCTATTAATGACTTTAAACCAGAGTATAATAGTTCAGTTTTATAGCTATTGAAAACATTATTAAGACGGTGGAAAATATTTTCAGGATCTAGATTTTGGAGATATTGTGTTCTGTAAACTAAATGGTTTATTCGTGGAGCTTTTATTGTCTTTCTCTACGTCATCGGTAATTACATGAACGAGAAGTAGCTCAATAAAATTTTGCAATAACAGAAGAATCTTCTATTCAGTTGTGGATAAATTCTAATAACTCACTTCTTAGCCAAGTGTGTACTGATGATTCTGTCGAAAAAGACGTTCAAAGCTACACATTTAAGCTATCCAGCTCAGAAAATAAACATACTTAAAAGACAAACACCTAAACATAATACTTACAATGAACTTTTACATAATTTAATTAATTAATTTGTGGCGGTTTTCGTATATTTTAAGCTTGATCTGACATCAACTGGAAATCTTGACCTGAAGTCAATCAAATTTTTAAAAAAATCTGTAACATATTGTTCAGACTGGGTTTACGATCATGTTATAACGAAAATTGATTGAAATCAGAAATGTAAACCGGTGGACCTTGACATAACAGCCTACAAAGATTGTAGTAATGGTTTAACTTTTCGTTGAATCTAATTAGTTAATAACTGAAACAACCAAGCTATCTATTTTTATTCTTTGATTTTTATCGATTCTACGAATGATACTGGTTTTTTAACAGAAAAACAAACATTAAATCTTATTTAATTTAGATTTCGATAGACTAAATGGTTTATAAAATAAAAGGAAATTATAAATCTGATATAATCTATAACAAAATTATTATACATATTGAGCGTCCCAACCATCATTGTCTTTAGTGAGTTACTATCTCACAACAGACCCATTTGAACTACACTGGTCACTCCTTCTCACTAGAACTCCAGGAAATACCTCTTGAAGCCAGTCACTAGTGAGCATATGTTGTTTAATATCAGAAGAGGTTTGGTGGATATTTTAGTAATTTTAATAGCTGAGATCATGAGTCAATTGAAGCTAGACCGCCACGGAAAACCTGGGAGCATTGGACGGCCGTTTCGTCCGAGAATGCGCATCCACGATCCGTCACACGGGACTCCGTAAAACGCCGATTCTGACACTTCTTATCATGTGTCTACTAGTGACTGGCTTGACGACGAATTTCATTGAGTTTTTTTAGAAGCCGTGATCAGTGGAGTTCAACTGTGTCTGTTGTGAGACCGTTACTCACTGAAGACAATGGTGGACTGTAGCACAACATCGTGGATTAGTTGAAGTTAGATATTAGCACCGTTGGATGCCGGTGATTATTCTATGAATCTAACAACTATTGTCAACTATTTGAATGAAAATGAATAATACTGAGATAACAAGGATAATCGTTTAATGTTTATAAAACCAATGAAGATCAAATAAATTTACTCAATGATAAAATTGTATAAACTAAATAAGATTAACAACTATACAAAACTGAGTTTACCTAAAACTATAAATGTTTATTCATTGATGTTATCAGATGAAGCAATCCACTATAAGTAAATAAAGTTTTTATTTTATGTTTCATTTGAATATTACACTAAATTAAACATAGAATTGATCATTTTAAAATGTAATTCTATCAATTTACATTCATTTATGGAAGAGAAAGGATGAGACATTAAATTTTTGGACGACCTTTGAGTGACGCTCAAGTGACCCTGAGAGTGTCTACCTAATTACTAGGGCTAACTGAGGGTTATAAAGCAGTTTGAAAAATAAGAATTATGATTTACAGTTGACGGTTAGGGTTAGGAATCAGATTTGTGATTTTTCATCACGAACTGACATCAGCTAAAATGCCAAGACGCTATTTGGACAGATGGGTGAGTGAATTTCGCGCCAAAATCCAAGACCTGTTGTACTAAATCTAATTGACTAAAGCCTCGCCAGAGAAAGAACTTTTGTTTGATTCGTTATTAGCAATCCACTTTAGCATGCTATCTAGATTTATGAAGATCATATTATTTATAAGTGGAATAATGATATAAGAAGAAAATTGTCGATATTATATAACTAGCGATAAACTGTATTAAATTCAATATGAAAATGTTGTGCACGACATATATTTACATGTTTCTGGATTACCCTGATAAATAAAACATGAATTTTGTACATGAATATCTGTTGCGACTAATTTAACAAGGGGTTTTTTGTGGATATTATAGTAATTTCAATGGTTGAGATCATGAGTCAAATGAAGCTAGATCACCATGGAAAACCTGGAAGTCCCAGTAAGGGACTCCTCAGCAGTGAGTATCCACAATCCCGTCTTGCGGGGTTCGGACTCAGAACCTTTCAGTTTCGCGCGCGGACGCTTAACCTCTAGACCAATGAGCCGGCATCTAGCGATGTTAATGTCAAAACGTATACTGGTTTTCATATTCTCTATCGAATTGCCTACTCATTTTCTGTAAGAACTTATCAATATGTAGATGTTACAAGCAATAAATTAACCTGAGAAGCCTAAAGTTTAGAGGTTGGTAAATGACCTGCTAAACTTGAATATAATAATAATTAGTCATTAATATGAATTTTAAGCATATTTAGTGTGATAAAATTGGATAAGGGTGTGTAATTTGTAGCATGGAAAGATTTATTGTTTCTGATTTATTTTAACGTTTGACATCCTTTCATTGTGCATTACATGAAGAAATCCAGAATTTTGAAATAATTACAACTCTACCACAATCACGTAAAATGATGTACTGTCCATCCCTGACCCAAATAGTATCCTCCGTTATAACAGTAAAATAACATCCGGCTGACTAGTGATTTAATAATTTGTGTAGTACACAAACGTTTAATATATATAGTTATAAATCTGTGAAAACTTTTATCAATCCTCGACTAATAATTTAAAGCATAATACATAAATAACTTCGCATAGAATTTAAAAAAGGGTAACAGGTGGGATGCAGGTCTCCTTACAATTTATTTAAAATGTAATAAGTAGTCAGTCGATTATTTAAAAATATAGGAGCTCAAAAATTATATGTATCTATCTATATTACCAAAATCTACGTCAGCAAAACGATAAGCAATTAACAGAATTAAGGTCAATTATAGAAAAATTAGTGTTGATGATAGTATAAGATCAGAAGCATACATCATAATTCTAAAAATTAAGTACAGTTTGTGAATGAGATTTGCAAATCATCAACCTCGAGAACTAACAAAATGTAAACAGTTAATACATCTACCCTACAAAACGCTGTTCTAAGCTATTTCATTTATGTTTAGTAATTTACTGTCATACACTAGGCAGACTGACGGTTGGTGAGTAAAGTGACTAGTTCCATGTTCTACTTTACCATTCCTAACCCTTATGCATTCTACATCTACGTAATTTACTAGTTCAAATCAACATATGGAATGAATGGCCATGGTTAACTGACTTCATAACCAGTTCAGTCAATGTGAGTTCAAGTCCTCATCAACTTGTTAATAATCTCTATCTACAAGATACTTCAAGCCTAAACACACTACTACTTAATGAAAGATCCTCTTATATATGATCAATGCCTTGAGGACATATCTTACCGTATAATTGTATCGTAGATATATTCACTACTTTTTGGTTCCATATATTACAGCGATAAAATAATGCAGAACAAATAACTGATTACTGTATAGAACTTTCGATAATCTAAAGAAACTCTTCCTTGTATCATAGATCATATGACTATCTGGTTATGAAACAAACAAACAAACAAAAAACGAAATCTCCCAATATTTCATGTTGTTATAAAGGATATCAAAAATGTATTTGGTGGAAATTTAAAAACAAAAAACTTTGTTTTAGATTAAAAAAACAATCAATATATCTATATATATGTACACATGTAATGAAAAACGTTTTCTAAATAAAAAGAAAATCCTTTTTTTTATAAATAATTGAACAAAGATAAATTGTTGAAAACGATTACAATAACAAACAACATTATAAATAATAAAATTATTTAAAAGAAAGACAACAACACAACTTCACTGACCTGAATGATTGATCTAATTTAGATGTTGTTTCAGTGTTTAAAATAGATTTAAATGAAGATGAATGCTTATTCAAGTGTATTAGTTTATGATTATCATTATCATTACTTTCATTAGTAATATTATCACTATTATTAATATTAGTATTAGTTTTATTTAAGATAAATGGCTTTGGAAAATAATTATATTGTTGATCAGTGTAATTATTTGTATGTGAAATCATTTGTGACCTAATAATAGTAATAATAATAATAATAATAATAATAATAATAATAATAATAATAATAATGAATAATTATTGATTTTTGAATGAAAAAGATTATTTTTTTAAATGTTTTTTTTGGCTAATAAAACAAAAATTACTATGTGAAGTGTTTTTTCTTTCATTATTTTAAAAAAAATTAAACTTTCGCAATAAAAATTTATGATATTTATATTATTTTTTAAAATTATTTTTGGAATATTTAAAAAAAATAAAAATAACAACAAAGTTTAAAAGATAAATTAAAAATATTAGTTAAAATTCAATATTAAATAATAATAATAATAATAAAGTATGAAGATAACTAGTTCTTTAGTTTATTGGTAATTATGTAATTAATTAATTAATTAATTGTTAAATTTGGTTCTGATGGAAACATTCTACATTGATTATTGTATTTCAATTGATTATTTCCAAAATATTCATTGGGTATAAATTTGATTCTATTGAAAAAGTGTAGGAAAAAAACAAACAAAAAAAGAAAAACAGATGAATAAACAGTGAATTATGATTAATTTTTAATGAAATTGCAAAATGTAATCAGAAAAATCTTGAAGCAACTAATTTGGATATAAATTACAGCACAGTGTTGACTTCATTAATGCTGAAGATGAATGATGGATTGTGTTAATTAAACATATTAATACATTATAAGTATCAAGGTTAAATAGTAATATTTTAGAAATGTATATTTTATGTGTATAAAATATATAGCGTTAAAGCTCGACAATACAATATCTATGTGATTCCATTTTTAATAGGTATATATGAAATACAAATAAGTAGATAGACATATATATACTTTACTAAACATATGAATAATTAACAAAACCAAATATACAATTGTACAAAAATAACTAGTAACATCAAAATAAGTCATCTATCTATGGACTAGAATAAGCTCATGATACCATTATAACTGATAAAATGGAATGAAAAGTCTAAATGCGATTGATCTACTCATTATGAGTTTTGTTCAACATTACTTCTGTTCTGACTCAATGTGATGATCATTTAGTGTAGTATTCGGTTTTCTTTTCTCGTATGATATTTTAATTCTGTATAATATACCATATTTTTGCTCTGTATGTGATTTATCATATCTGAGTATTTTTTATATATGTGATTTCATCCTAATTATTATTCAAAGTGTGTGTACAATCAATATATAAATGAGTGTACTTTTGACTAAAGTCGTCGTGGTTGTCGTGTTTTGGGGTTAATAAATATTCACTTATACCAGTCTTTGTGTGTCTACTTTCGCGTCGAGGGAATTGTAGAGTTCCATCGTTTTGAGTATAAATAATAAGCGTTTCCGACACAACAAGTAACATTCAACTGACAAGTTATAACAATAACAGAGAAGTCACTACAATATATTAGATGAAATCAATGCTATTTTCAAATGGTTATTACATTTATTTCCATGTCGTTTTGTTCATGGTTGTAAAATATTGATAGATTTATACATAACTTATTCAAAACGATTCTCTGAAAACATTTTTCATTATATCATATACAATTTAAATAATGAAATAATCAAGACAGATTATCATTCAGTAAAAATATTACATCATAATGTTAATTTTTTTCCATTAAATCGTATCAGACAATGTCTCAAACTAATGAATCTCAGATTCCTAGTGAATTAATCTGAAGAGTCACGATATACTGGCAAGTGCTAACTAAATATTCTTACATTAAGTTCTACGGTATGATTTTTTAATTTTTCTAGCCAGTATTCATGTTTCGAAGTTATGCTACTAATTAAAACGCGATGAAGCAAAGGTAACTCAAATTGACAGTATACTTTTTTGAATCTAACTATATCCAAATTCATACAATGTATCACTCCATTGCTACACTCGCTAAAATACACAAGTACAAGGAATTCTTAATGATAGTTAACGGTTGATCATACATATTCAGTGCAACTTAAATGGCATAAATGTATTATCATATTTATATATATAATGTATACATGTAATTATGTTGGTTAAAAACATTTGTATAATACTTTATTCGATCGTTGACATTGTAGTACTTATATTTGATAATTACATTTTGCCACCTTCCGAAACATTACTGCATTATCATTGGGAAAACTAAGGTTGCTTGGAAAACTATACTACAAAATACTAAATTCAGTTACCACAATTATATTAACAAATTTCATTTACATTAATTATTAGCTATAAACAGTTATAACTGGTATTCAATTCCATTTCTGGAGCAGAAATTTGAAAGAAAGAAATAATTAGGTGTCCTGATTTAAAATATTTTGTTCAGTAATATACAGACTATGAGATAGGTGAGTTATTAATAAGCACATTGACAAATAACTGATTAAACTTAATATCAGCATTTCAACAACTAAGTCCATTAAAACAACACAATTATTTTTATTCAACTGGAATACAATGAATAGTGTTTCAAAAAAAACTATAAAAATAAATTTATTGCAGCCACCGTAGACTTATAACTTACTTGATTCAAACAATATTACCAAATTCAAATATGCTCTTGTAATATAAGACTTTTTAAAAAAAAATACTAATTCAAGTGAGTAAGTAGATGGATTCGACTTTACACAGTTAATATGACATTCATTTCAAGTTGTCGGAAAATTTGATGTAAATGAAAAATTTAATAAGTGTACATACAAATACAAATGTATTTCATTCAAAATAAATTAACTTTGTAATAGGATATTACAAAATGAGAGAATATGGAACAACTATAGATTAATGTAGTATTTGCGTGTTTATATAGTATGGTAAGCCTATATAATCAAAATTAAGTAGACAGATCAAATTTCCTTGTGAATACATTTGTTTGTTTTGAAAATCTATTCATATTGTTAAATTTTATGATAAATTTCACTTTAGATGTTATTTTCATAATCAAAATTAATCATACTTAATCTAGACATAATCCAAAATGAGATAACATGTAATATGAATCATATCGGAATCACTGAATTGAAATATGAGTTAAATGTGTACAAATAATATTATAAGATCTTATAATGAATACACCCGGAATTAAATCTAACTATTGATAATCTCTCTTAGATATATTTTAATTCACAATAGTCTCTTTCATTATGTAAAAAGCCAAAAGGGATACAAAGAAATAACTATTGTTTTTATTACTTAATACAAGTTTGCCATTCAGAAAGGCATATACATTGGTATGCTATAACAAAATACTTCAAAAGTAAATCCCTCTAGAATATATATAAACCTGAAGACGTTCTCCACCATCGCGATTATTTATCAAAACATGATCATTTTTCAATTGATTACTAGATGGTCAAAAAGAAAGGTTTTTCATTGACAATCATATTTTTTTCCAAAGCATTATCTAAGTTGTACAGATTAAAAATAAACATATTCACTAAAATTTATAATTCAGCATTATCATATGGCCAAATCTTGAAATAGGTTATATTTGCTTATGTAAGTTCCATTTGATAATTTTCTTTTTCAATAAAAAGGAAACGTGATTCCATGCAAAGAAACTTTCATGAAGGACAAGTTTATGAGGTAAAAATAGTAAATTAACGGAATGGCATAATATTGACGTGATCAAACTTGTTTATTTGTAATAAACGTTTAAATGGGTTAATTCGTTGTATTATTTAAACTTGTGTTAATTTGTATCACAACATTTATACCTCCAAATATTGCTAACCAAAATTATCACCTCTAAATGCCGTGGTACAGCCGAAGGTGGGGAGAGTCAGCTTTCCCTCTCTATATGCTCTCACATAGAAACGTGCATACAACTACTGTCAGGGAAACCCTACCCACTTTCTTCTCGCGGCAGGGGTGTTGTTTACGAAATTGAGAGGACGAAATGCAAATGCGTAGCACTTAAACCGGGTTGATGTATATGTAAGATCCACCTAGGGAAGTTGGTGCACATGGGCTCCAGGATCCTGAGAGAACAAAATGGCGTATGAACCTATTGTTGGTCACCGACTACGATGGGACTGTATCACCTAACGTTGTAGTACCACAGCCCACATACATGTCAAGTGACTTATGTGGCGCATATGTATTCGGTGCCCCTTTGTACTAATATTTATGCGTTCAAATAAATAAATAAATAAATAAAATCTAGTTCCAACCTTAATACACAATAAAAATATTAAAGAAATAAAAGATTTTAATCATTTAATATGATGAACTTCAGATTACTATTAAAATAGAAATAAAGTATTAATGGTCATAGAATTGTGATGCATTGATGATGTAATCATAATCTTTAGAACAAACATTGAACTAAATCTAATGTTTTTCACTTTTTATGTCATTGGTTTTCATTCGAAAAAGAAGATATTATCATAAAACCATAACGTTTAAATGATAGAAATTGTAAGTGTATCATTAAAACAAACGAAACTACGAACTATTTACCAATATCTTCGGTGTAAACAGCTCAAGCAGTATGAAGAGTTTTGTTTAAGTCATTGCTCAATACCATATTAAGTGACAATTTTTACAGGTTACAACAACTAAACAATTGAAATGATTTCAAGCTAATCTTTACCTAAAAACAAAAGAAAATTGTAGTGATGAACTTGACTAAAAAAAGAGGAGGAAGTGTTCTTCAGTTTTCCAGCTGATGTCAGTTAGTGATGGAAATTACTTTTCACTATTTATTATTTTATGGTTAATGTCTACGGAGCAATTATATATATTTTTTATTTTTATGGAATGATATTCATGTCAAAGGAGCAATGGTAATGAGAAACATTACTGTATATGACGTAATAATAATTAACTAGATAAAATGCTGATAAAATCAGTTCGCCATGATCAGTAACAAAAATACCGATTGTTTATTTCTTAAGATAATTTTGAATACTTTCATAATATCTGCTTCGATAAAAAGCAATGAAAATAAATTCCTTTATTAACTTAAACAATTCTATTAAAGTACTGTTTAATGAAAAACGTTAGATCACCATTGAAAACCTGGAAGCACTGAATGGCCGTTTCGTCCTAGTATGGGACTCATCCGTAGTACACATTCACGATCTCGCACGCAGGATTCAAAATCACGTCCTTCGGTCTAACACTCGAACGCTTGACCTCTAGACCACTGAGCCGATTGGAATCCAATTCACGAAATTGCGCGACTATCTTCCATTTTCTGAGGTAGATACTTGTCACTACCTGACATGGATTAGCTCAAATCCCGTGTGTGGGATCGTAAATGCACCTTACTGAAGAGTCCCATAATAGGATGAAACAGCCATCCAGTGCTTCCAGGTTTTTAATGGTAATCTAACATCAATCAATTCATCATCTTAATCAAAACTTAACAATTTCCATAATCCTACACTGGAAAAAACTTATTTAACTGCCTATGCATACACGCAAAACAGTTAGTCTAATTTCCGTCATAAATTCATTTCATTTATCCTTTGTAAGCATGCATTAAATTAATATACTATTCACATATATGCATCCCAATCAACATTTTGTAAAACAAAAAGAATTTACACTTCCTGTTATGATTATAACAATCACTACTTAGAATGATTATAGGCATCCCTGGAATTGAGAAATAAATAATATTGACTAGTTGTTTTTCTTTTTAAAAATTCTTTTGTTTTATTTTATTTAACACATTTTCTTTTTCTTTTTGTTTGTTTGCTGTTGTTGTTGTTGTTGTCAACTAGTTATCCTAAAGTTAGTCAGGAAGACAAAATCAAAACTAAAAATTTTCTTTTGAAAAAAAAAGTAAAAATGGAAAATAAGTCAAGCAAATGAATATTAATAAAAGAATGAAATTAGAATGATTAATATAATTATGTTTAATTTAACAGTGACTTATTTTGTAACAAGAATATAAGTGACGGATGAATGAATGAGAGAAATGGATAAACACAAGCAAAAACAAAAAACAACAACAACGACAACAACAAAAACAACCGAAAGTTGACGATTAGGGGAGAGAAAAATTCGATTTCATTTCAATAACCACAATTAATATTGACAATTTATGTTAAACAATTTTGATTTTAAGTAAAATTCCTGTTATTTCTTTTATATAATTATTTCATATTAACCATTTATTATATATTAAAAAAAGAGGTGGATACTTTAAATTTTATACTTCCCTAGAATGTACCCTGGTAGAAGGAGTAATATGTGGTAACATTTAGAAATACTCTGTACTATAAAATCAAATTTTAATTTCATCAACTTTTAACGCGATTGCAAGTAATTACATTAGTCAAGATAAAAAGGGGGGAGTGATTTTAGAACTATTCTATACTTGGTAAAGTCATTAATCTAGGGATTCGAAGTATTATTGCGTGTCTTGAATAACTCTGTTATTAATGTACAACCAGTGATTTTATATCGAGTAAAATTACTATTCAACATTTAACCAATAAATGCTCCACAATAATTACATTACGAAATTTGTCTATTGAGATACTATCGTCAAGAAATTTTGCAACTTTTGGTTTGAAACAATGTTTTTAAACGCGTCTTTATGTAAGCTTACAGCAAAATATATGTCCGTAAAATGATGTCTGGTTGAGTGCCACATACCTCGACAGGTAGTGTTTACTGATGTACAAGTGAGTTATAAAAAAAATAAAAGGTGTCAAAACCCCAATGTTGTATCAGTCTAATAATTGGTTGACTGTTGGTCTATGTCATAGTGACAGATGCAGATTACCTGACTGAGGTCCGCAATATAACCTCGATTAGTTATTGGAGAACTAGATACATCCGTTTTTTTGTTACTGTAAGTTTAAAGTTTCATTATTCATTTATAAAAGTATTTTCATACAACCAGATCCCTTGATAACTGTAAACAGAGCAAGAACAACAAGGATCACAGAATAAAATGAATTCATTCTATTTCACAGTCTCTCATCCGCTGAATACAACCTTAAATTACAATTACTAATAAAAATATAATTATTAACAAATGTTTAGCATACTTTAGTTTATGAAGTTTAGATAACTATTCGAAGATTAGCCAAAATCATAATCAGAAGTATGAATAAACAAAGTCAAGATCGATGTGTATTTATATGTTGGGAAGTATTAATTACGAGGTTATGTAAAAGTAATGAAATTAACGAGTGATTGGATAATCTCTCTATATGACAAAATAGGCAAGTATGTGACCATCAGTCATATTATGTAAGAGATGAATATCAGAAGACGAAAGAATAATAAAAGTTTGGGAACAGTTGAAAAACTGTTTTGAGATTAACAAAGATTATCAGACAAGTATCCAATCACCATGACAGAGAAAAGCTAATCAAACTTTCCTTTTGTACACATAAGTCAGGTCGGTAACCTTGGATAGCGATTGCCTCTGCACAACGGAATGAGATTGGTGTATTTTGTCTGTTGATTATTTTAAATGCATCTCTTACATTCACTCGTGTTCACTATCTAGATATCTGGTGATTCCAATTGTAAAGACTCTAGTTCGTTTTGGAGACCTTTCTCTCTGTCCTCTCTATGTGCTTGCCATTGCAGGTACATGTGAATTCATAAATGTAACAAGTGATCTCAGAAAGGTATTGATCTACCTTTGAGTGGTACGGAAAACACTTGGTATTGTATAGTGAAGCCAAATGAACAGCAAGGAAGCTTTTTTCAGTGCCGCCGTGACTCTTCCATCGATTTTTCTTGAAATCTCAGCTCCCTCTTGATCGGAAGGCACATAAAAAACGGGCCTCTTGCTAACAATCGATGGTTTATCACCCTTGAGATGTTCTTCTCCATATTTCGTAATGCATTTCCTCAGGTATTCATTTTTCATGAGTTGCTTCTCCAGAATAGCCAATTCTTCATTTATTTTGCCATTTGAGTATAACATTCTAAATCAATCGAAGAGCGTTTTGACTAGACATATTTCGTAACTGATGGGACAAAAACTGTTACAGTTCAAGTACTGTCCTGTTCATGCTCCTTTCCCATATATGTACTCTTCTCAAGACTTCCATCAATTTTCTCCGTCTTAAACTAAGATCTAAAAAATTGAATTGGATATCTCTTTTTTTATTTTAATGTAAACGTTATGTTAGAGTGAGAGTTGTTAAAGTGACTAAGTAACTGAGAAGCGTAGTCACAGATAATGAACGTATCATCAACATAGCTGGTTTAGTATGTTGTGTTCTAATACACACTTCTTATTCCCTAATCTTCTGATTATGATTTTGGTTACTCTTAGAACATTTACCTAAACTTCACAAATTAAAGTATGATAAACATTTGTTAATAATTATATTTTTATTAGTAATTGTAATTTAAGGTTGTATTCAGCGGATGAGAGACTGTGAAATAGAATGAATTCATTTTATTCTGTGAACCATGTTGTATTTGCTCTGTTTAAAAAGTGCTTCATCCTGTTCTTTTAAACTATATTCTTAAAACTGTTTCCACTTCATTATTATGATATCTTCACCATACACCTTATTAATTTCACGTCGTTATACTGTCATTGTGTAGCAATTCTGATCAACGCACATTTATACTAGACTATATATTTATTATAACTGACTAGAAGTTTCATTTGTCCATGTAAACTAATTTAATTATTCTTTGTAAATATAACAGTCTCAACTTTTAATTCGTCATGATATAAATGAAATTTATCTGTAGATGTAAATATTTTAGACGATACGGAATTTAAATACAGAACAATCAAATAAAATTGCTATGAGACTGTAATTTATGGACGACCTTTGAGCGACGCTGAAATGATCTTGAGAATGGACACCTAATGATTAGGACTAAATGAGGGTTATAAACTAGTTAGGGTTAAAAATTTTGATTTAGGTTTTTCATCACGAACTGACACCAGCTTTAATGCCAAAACTCTATTTAGCCAAATGTATGGATGAATTTCGAGCCAAAATCCGAGACCTGTTATCTTATACGTGATTGGTTCGTCCATAAACTATAGTCCCACCGAAATTGCTACAAAAATCTATTTTGATTATAATCTAGACGAAAGGTAAGTAATATCGATAAAAAAGAACTAAATGTTAAATGAATTTCTTTCAATAACTTACTTTATAAAACCAGAATAAGAAATCAATTTTCTTAATAATCTTAATGCTGTAAAAGCTGACATATTTTGAAAACTGTAATCTGATACACTTAGAATTCGATCACCAGCAGTAGGAATGCGTAAATGATCACCATTTATACAAGAAGTATCTGAAAGTTTTGAATAGTCTGAATCAGTTTGAATATAATTCATAGATTTGTATTTATTCCAATATTTCAAACGATCTACTGGACTTCCAGGAGTAATATGTGCAAGTTTTATACCTCTTTCATCTCCACTTTCTAATTCCAGTTCTAAACCTAAAAAATATAGTCCAAAATATATTTGTAAGAAAAGTACCATACGCTAAGATTATGTAGGTTTGTTTTATTATACTAAAATCACATATATTTACAGTTTCATAAAACAATGTTATATTTCATGCTTTTGCTGTCTGTTTGAATATCAAGACTCTCTTATTTAAATAATGTAAATTGCACAAAACATTTTCTTAAATCAATTTTTTTTCATAAATCAATCCATTATGTAACTTTGAAATATACTCTTATGGCGATGAAACAATTACTAATTAGTAGAGCATTTATCATTTAGATTCAATTTCATTAAGGTTTTATGATATCATATAGCTGTAAGACAGTGATTATTCCACAATTAAAACATTCGACTTAAAATCACCGTGAACAAGTCCATTTAGTGGTTTAAAAATAAGTTTTAAGGATTAGTGCTGAGTATCACGAAAGTATATTCAAAGGATCCTTGGCATTCATATTCAATCACCTAGTAGTATTTAAGATACATTTTGAAGTTTGGAATGCAAAACGGAAATTTTATGATACATCAAAAAAGTTTTAGAATCAAATAGAATATGTTATTAATAACAAGAGATACGACTTGATAACCAATGTTTTGTGTTTCATTGCAAACTTGTATTACACCTAAGCAACCATTTGCAGAATTATCAAATAAAATCCAGACATACACATGCAGTTACATAATTAAAACATCACCATTACCTGCAATTTTTCACAAAAACTACATAAGTTTTCATTTACCAGTATATTATACAAATACTGACTGTCTGAAGTCGGTCAACTACAACGTAGGACCAGGTACATATATGCATCGGTTCAAGTTGACATACCCCATTAACATAACAAGATGAACACCATATTCATAAAAGTAGTTAATTCAATGGTGGTAATATATAAAAGAAAGATTGCATTTAAGAACATAGTATAGAAAGAAAGAATTAGTACGTAGAAAGAAAGATATGAAGTGATTTTAAAGGAAGACAGAGAGTGCATATACCTACGTCACTGTAATCTATTCTGAGCCATGTCACCAAGAGTCTCCAACCATTGGTTACGATAGTCACGCGAACCCCAACCAAGTAGTCTGCATCTACCAACGTGGCTCAGACTAGAAGTTAGTGTCTTCAAGCACTGATGCCACGTTTCGGTTTGACCGCACCTAACTTTCTTCCAACCATCCCCAACACCGGTTAGCATTGCACGTCGTGGTAATTAGTGTTCAGGCACACGCAACACGTGGCTGAAACCATTTCAGTCGATCAAGATTCACAAACCCATTAACTGATTTACCATCATTCCCCAATACCCTGCGTCTAACCCCACTATTACTTACCCGGTGATCCCAGCAGATGCGAGCAATATTTCTAAGATATCTGTGATCAAATACTATCAATTTACGAGTATCTTCTACTCTAAATGACCATATTTCGCAGTCATAAAGTAGAACAGAATGAACTCCTGAGCAGTATACTCGTCCTCCTATTGATAGACGGATATCTCTCCTTTGCCATAGGTGACATAAGTTAGCAAAAGCCAAACGAGATTTTCGAAACCGGGCACAGATTTCGTCAGACAACAACCCATTAGGGCTGATCAGACTTCCAAGATAAGTGAAGTTGTCAACGCGTTCGACTACTTAACTCCCTATCCTTTGTTCAAGTGTTGACGCAGACCACTTCTGGAGCAACAACTCGCATTTAAAGGGAGAGAAGCGCATTCCAAACATTCTGGCATTGTTGCTTAGTGCTACCAGATGACTCTGCATTTTATCGGTGTCTTCGCCAAACAGACCTATATCGTGGTAGGAGATCAATCCCCAAGAATTCAGTCGACAAGAGCGTTATTTCCAGAAATAGGTTAAACATAGAGATAGCGGACAGCCTCAACGAACACCACTTGAGGTCTTAAAATCAGACGACAGTTCGTCTTAGGCTCTGATTCGACTAGTAGTGTTCGAGAAACTTTCTGAACTAACAGGATTTATTTGATTTTCAATTGTTTACCAAAGCTGGCTAGTGTTACTACCTATAAAACGATTGAAAAACATCGTGACCTGAAAGTTTGTCGACTTAAGTTTCTTATTCCTAAGTTATAAGCATCAACGGCACTGCCTGGCATAAAATTATCCACATCCATAGATACCAATGATACTCTTAGATTACTAGAATTCATAAATAGTTATGTAAATTACAGTCACAATATCACATATAAGATAAATAATTATTATAGACTAAAAACTTAGTTCTATTAATTTATTTTTTATACCTTACCAAGTATTTCACCGGCTTTTTTCAAAACTTTAACAGTTAACACATCATTATCATCATTTCGATTGGTTATTTCATTCGATTGAATCAGATTAGTATGGTCTGGATTATTATTTTCAGAAATTGAACCGGATACTTGAGACGGTAATTTTTCCATGGATTTCACTAATTTAACAGCCATTGGTAGACGTTGTAGTGAACTTATTAGTGTCGGTTCGATAGGTTTCTGATCACTCATTATTAGGTTATTCTTATCAATTTCTGGTTTAATATCTTCGTTTATCTAAAATAAATACACGTAAGTTTTATACAAAATAAAGGTATTAACTACGTAAATAAAACAAATGAATAGTTGATGGAGTAATTACCCATAAGCAACACAGTCGATATTTTATATGGTAAACCTTCAGAATTAGAGTTTTGATTAAGTATGAAGCTTGATCTGATCAGAATAGTAAAGTGAAATGGGACAATATCGATAATCCGTAAACAATCAATCTTTAAAAATGGTTTGTTTGACGGGAACCAATTAACCTCAAGTCCTGTGACCTGTAAAGAAGAACTGATATTCAAATGTTTACATCAAAGTTCTGCTAAACGTATTCTGACTACCTTTCACTTCAGCTACAAAATGTTTCTTTTCTAAAATTCTGGTAAATATGTCCGTAAACTTTAACTAACTCGTAACTCTAAAAGTAAAATAAAACGACAGAGTTAAGAGTATGAAAAAAATGCTAGACTTTGTTCGCCACAAGAATTATGAAACGCGATCTTTATTACTAATATGATAAACTGTAAGTGCGAAGTCATCCGAAATATTTCGTTAAAACACTTGTCTACGTTGTTAATTTCGTAATAAATCTGACAGCACATATTAATATATACATATTTATACATATTTTCCACAAAATTATATATTTTTAGACGTGCTAGTGTAACATAGAAGAAGTAGTGTAAAATATCATGATGTACATTTAACCATTTACCGAAAATCATTAACGAATATCTGTTTAAAACCATGTCATTAATTCTGAAATCCCATTTCAATTAGTGAATATCTTAACTAGAACAGTAGAATTTTGTACAACAAATGTATACAGAAGTCTTAATCAATAGATTTTAATATTGAAATGACGATATTAATTAGATTCAGTTAAAACCTGCTTGATTAGAGAATGGGCTGTTAAACATCAACAAACTAAAGCACATTTGAAATTTATATAGTTAGCATCTAACTACTGAATAGAGTTTAAAGTAGCTCAACTTAACTACAGTAATTTAGTAATGATCAATATATCAACCAAGAGCCTAGTTCATAACAAAAAATAATAAACGGTCTAAATTTCTTTTCTTATGACTAAGTAAGGTTGAAATATAAATTTCACATAAAAGGCTATTGAGAACTTTCATTGTAATTTCTCTGCACTACGGTTGAAATTATCAAGTTTGATTGAATCATGTCAACATCCCTGCTATGCTTGAAGCGATTACGAGTTCACCTAGTCTGAGAACGGAACAAAGACTCTGTGACCAAAGACCAATGAGCTAGCTATTCTGATGAGTCCCAACCCCGCTAACTAGAGAGAGATGTGGAAGTTCAAGAAAGGGAAATATATTCCGACAAGTCTAGTCGGAAATACACTCATTTATATATTGGTTTGTACACCCATTTTCGATTAATAATCAGAATAAATCACATATACGAAAAATAATTCATACAAGAATATCGTATATTATACAGAATAAAATGTCATAGGGGAAAACGAAACAAATACTATACTGAGTGATCATCAAATTGAATTAAACGGAATCGATGTTGAATAAAAATCATAATAAGTGAATCAATCTAATTTTGACCCTTCATCCCGTCCGTCACAACAACCTCCACGAAATTATAATTGTAAATACGATTTTGTTGAGAATTCCACTAGTTAAATGGATAAAAGTGATCATGAAACACTGACAAAATCAAGTACCATGTTTTAGAAAAATACCATTTTATCAGTTTGAATATCTTCACTTTGGAATTCAAGACTGGAACTTTTATTCTGCAGAGCAGAATTAGAAATCGTCAATAGTTTTATTGGATATCGACTTTCATCAATATCAGATCCAGAATGTTTATCAATTCCTTCTTCATTGTTCGGTGGTGCTAAGGCTATGTTATTTTTAATTCCTGAATTGGTTTCTTTGAAAAGATTATTATCCGAAATCTGCTCATTGAAATCGTCATTAGGAATCTCACCATCACTTAGAGTTTGAGTGAAGAAAACAACACTGGCTAATTCATCATTTTCACTCTCTACTTTGATATCAATTCGAGATTTATTTGGATAACGAGCACATATTAAATATCCTTCAGAATGAATAGTAGGAAAAATACTGGAGATCTCTAAATGATCTTTGTTAACGATAACAACATTATTAATCTGAAAAATATAAGACATGTGTAGTTATATTATTAAAACGTGAAAAAAATAAATGCATTATACTATGGTTTTAGATGATAACTAATTGTTGGTTTGTAGAAGAAAACTAAAATGCTGAGATATCCAAATCAACAAGATTACAGCTTTTCAATAAATTTCTGGTTTCCTTTGGTTCCACTGTCAATATCAATTTGTAAAGAAAATAAGCTTCGATCTGAGATAAACAATCCAAAACTTTTGAATAAAACATTAGTGATTGGGTTTGAGTTGAATTCCAAAACTTCTAGTAAAACGTCATGTTTTGTAAAATCTAGTCACCTTAGGAATATAACAGATATCATCAAAGACAATGAATGTAGTACACACAATGTTACAAATTAACTGAATTTATGATTCAGTAGTCTAGAAGATTAAATAATGACTATGAAACCCAATTCCACCTTTAGCGGGCTTGTAGCGTGTGTACTATTAAGTTTCATAATAGGTCAAAACAGCTTATATTCTCTTGTTTTTAATGGTTCTCTCTCTTAATCGTTGAGATCATGAATCAATTGAAGCTAGACCACCAAGAAAAACCTGGAAGCACTGGACAGCCGTTTCGTCCTAGTATGAGACTTTTCAGCAGTGAATACTAAATCATATCAGATATAACTTTCAAAGCACAAAGTAAACATATCCATTTCTACCAAAACAGATGATACGACAAAAATTTATGTATTCTAATATTTGACAAGTGAATAATTTAGTTAGAGAAAAAACATCATTATAGAAAGATATACAGTTGAACAAAGTGAAATTAATCAGTATCTTATGAATAAACATGGTTTCTATTCAGTAACAAACATCTGGGAATTTCAGTAATAACTAATGTAATTCAATAAAACAGTATTATTTATTGTGAGAAGATAAAATAATTACTCAAAATCATTGCAAGCAAATCAAATTAGAAAATAAAAAAAACAAGCCTCATCAGGTTAGAAAGACAATTTTCAGATCTTAATTAATGAAGAAACGTTATCAATGTTAAATGATTACCTAATCAGATTGTTGGAATGAGTTAAAATCGAGAACTGAAAACGATACATAACTAGGTCATCAAAATCAAAACTCCCAATGAAGAAATTATTAGAATAAAATAATGGACTAGATCCTTTTGTCAACACTTTATGACAATTCCTTCTGAGAAGTTGAATAGTTTCGATATACTCTGAATGATTATTATTTAAAATGCATCGAAACTAATACTCCATATTCTCAAACGCTTAGAAATCAGGCTTATGAATGAGATCCTATCTTTTATCGGTTTCTTCATAATTAGAATGTATTCATAAAGCAGGGTGAATACTAGTCCTTCAAATTTATTCCCTACGATCACTTCTAGTTTGCTTATCTACCTTAGCCATCTTGAAAATTATAGTAAAAGTGTCTTGCTTATACACTTCAAATCAATTTTATAAATCAACTCGGTGACCTTTTTAATAATGAGATAGATTGTTTTCATTATAAAGAAAATGAATTCATTCACATTTATCAAAAATCATAACAAATAGAGAAAACTAACTTCAAGTAGCTCATCTCCAATAGATAAGGTTCCATCTTTGCCAATAGGTCCTTCAGGATTAATTTCCATTATATAATGACGATGTTGATTTTCACCAAATATTTCGTCATCTTCTACAGTATCCCCGACGCCAATACCCAAACCACAATTTGAATTTTTGATGTCATAATATACTAACTACAAAAACATAAGTCTATAGTTAAATAATGCTATATATGTGTTGACGAAACATTGGAAGAAGTCTGTGTAAACATGATACAACAGTTTGTTTTTGAGCTAAAGATACCGCCAGATTGGCATTGGTGAAAGCAAAGGATAGGATACCATGAGAGAAATAAAAAGAGTGTGTTCGAAATTGAGTATCATGAGCATAATACGGTGTGTGTGGGATAAATATCCACACAGTTAATAATGTGGGTGAACGGGGAGCACAAACAATCTTTGGAAAATTTCCGAAATCATCTGACTAACTCAAGAAACTTGAAAGTAAATCGACAATAGCACTACCTCTATCAAAAATAGGATAAACTTTGAACGCATGAAAATACTTTAGAAAGGTCTCGGCGCTCATGAAGTAACACTGACAGCCGAGGCTTTGTATATATGGGTGAAGAAGAACATGAGCAACAGAAGAGGTGGATACGATTAGCTACTCCATGGCAACCGTTGATTGACTAATAAATACATAGACCTTGAAATATATCATTTGAAGTGATTCAACGTAATACTACAATAAAGAAATGTCCGTTAATGAAATTTTACGGCATAAAAATATCTACCAAGATCTTAAGTATCCGTTCAAATAACTAATAAAATGCAGCTATGAACTGATAAGAACAATAGGATAAGTACATTCGAACAGAATGTTTGTTTAAACATTTAGAAGGGATAAACACATAAATAAGATTGTGAGAAAATGACTGTTTGGGTGAGGTTCGAAATATTATCCGACACATATTTAATGATATATGGTTTCTTTCGTGTAGTCGAACGAATAGATCTGATTAAATACTCAAAAAAAGTCAGTCAGTCAGTCAGTGAGCTACAACGTAGGACCAGGCACATATGTGCATCGGTCCATACCTCATTAGCACAGCAAGATGAACACCGGATTCATAGCAGTGGTTAGGTCAAAGGTTGCAATAAGGATATAGTATAGGAAGAAAGAATTAGTTAATAGAAAGAAAGATATGAAGTGATTTTAATCTCTTAGTTTAAGGGAAGACAGGGAGTGTATACACCGACGCCATTGTGATCGATTCTGAGCCATGTCACCAAGAGTCTCCAACCATTGGTTACGAAAGTCACGCGGACCCCAACCAAGTAGTCTGCATCTACCAACATGGCTCAGACTAGAAGTTAGTGACTTCAGGCACTGATGCCACGTTTTGGTTTGGCCGCCCCTAACTTTCTTCCAACCATCCCCTACACCGGTTAGCATTGCACGTCGTGGTAATCGGTGTTCAGGCATACGTAACACGTGACCCAACCATCTCAGTCGATGAAGATTCACAACCTCATCAACTGATTTACCACCATTCCCTAATACCCTGCGTCTAACCTCACTATTACTTACCCGGTGATCCCAGCAGATGCGAGCAATATTTCTAAGGCATCTGTGGTCAAATACTAGTAGCTTACGGGTGTCTTCCACTCTTAAAGGCCATGTTTCGCTGCCGTAAAGTAAGACAGAACGGACTGCCGCGCAGTATACTCGTCCTTTTATTGATAGACGGATATCTCGCCTCCGCCAAAGGTGACGTAAGTTGGCAAAAGCCAAACGAGCTTTTCGAATCCGTGCTGAAATTTCGTCAGACACCAACCCATTAGGGCTGATCAGACTTCCAAGATAAGTGAAGTTGCCAACGCGTTCGACTACTTCACTCCCTATCCTTAGTTCAGGTGTTGACGCAGACCAGTCCTGAAGCAACAACTTGCATTTAAAGGGAGAGAAGCGCATCCCAAACATTCTGGCATTGTTGCTTAGTGCTACCAAAAGACTCTGCATTTTGTCAGCGTCTTCACCAAACAGGACTATGTCATCTGCGTATTCTAAGTCGATAAGTGGACCTCCTGGAAGGAGATCAATACCCGAGAATTCAGTCGACGAGAGTGTTATTTCCATCAATAGGTCTATGATGAAGTTAAACAAAAATGGAGAAAGTGGACAGCCTTGACGGACACCACTTGAAGTTGCAAAAGTAGATGACAGTTCGCCATAAGCTCTGACTCGACTAGTAGTGTTCGAGTAAAGAGCCTTCACAAGGTTTATGTACTTCCGAGGTACGCCTTTCAATGACAGACACTGCCACAGAGTCTCGCGGTCTACAGAATCAAATGCTGCTTTTAAGTCAAGAAAGACCACCATCGTCGGACGCCGATAGGTATGCCTGTGTTCTAGAACCTGACGAATGGTGAATATGTGGTCGATGCAGCCACGACCAGGTCTAAAGCCAGCTTGGTTCTCTCGAGTTTGTAGTTCACGAGTCTTAGTTAGGCGTTTGATAATTATCGAGGCCAGTATTTTAGATACTATGTTTGTTAAACTAATCCCTCTGTGGTTGTCACAGGATGATTTTGACCCTTTCTTATATATTGGGACGATAAGTGATTGCGACCAGTCAGATGGGATAAAGTCTAATTCCCAGATCTTAGCTAAAATATTAGTCAAACTAATCGCTAAAATTGGGCCACCATCCTTAAAGACCTCTGGAGCCAATCCATCTGGACCAGCTGCCCTTCCTCGTTTCAGATTAACTATAGCCTTTTGAACTTCAGCAAGAGTTGGGGGACCTACTTCAATGTTCCATTCACACTGTCTGGGAATAGAGGGTAGTTGTACAGTAGCTGAAGGCCAGCTGAACTGTTCTCTAAAATGTTCCGCCCATCGTTCTAAACGCCTGGACTGGGAGCAGATGAGAGTATCATCTTTTTCCGAAATAATCTCACTTACACTTGACTTATTAATTCCAGTTTCTTTTAGTCTGTAAAGCTGTCTTGTGTTCCCTATAGTCGCCGCCTTTTCCATCTCTTTTGCTTTCGTTACCCACCACTGCTCACGGTCGTTCCTTAGACTTTTTCTTAACCTAGATCTGATTTGTTGTCGCTCTTCATCATGTTCGGAACCTGATGGGACGAGTTTGCGAGAATCCATCAGTGTGACAGACCTTGAAGAAATCCACTGGTTCCTTGCAACTCTGTGGTTTAAGTCACTAATAGATGTCACTGCTGTTTCCACAGCTGATTGTATGCCCTTCCAAGCAACATCTGGGTCAGCCTCGTCTTCACAACTACCTAAGTGTGACCTCAGTTGTTCCTGGAACCTACTTTTGATTTTCTCGTTACTCAACTCAGTTCTGACGGGTCTTTTTAATGTGGCTTTTTTGCGTCCAGTGAGGCGCAAGCAGATGCGTGCCCGTATTAGGGCATGGTCGGAGTCCAAACAGGTACTCCAGAATGAGCGACAATCTTCTACCGACCCTCTCCAACGATGACTGATGGCAATATGGTCTATTTGAGTCCATCGTTGGTTTGGTGTAGGGGGTCGCCATGTTAGACGATGTCTCTCCTTATGCTTAAAATTTGTGTTTGCTAAAAATAAACGATTGTCTGAGCATAGCTGCAGCAGACGATCACCATTATCTGTTCGCTGTGTCGGAACACTGAAATATCCACCTAAATGCCTTTCTGTTTGGTTTAAGCTACCTATCTGAGCATTAAAATCACCTGCTACGAGTACTATGTCTGAGCGTTTAGTTTTCTGAAGAAGTTCGGACAGCTTTCTGTAAAATTCATCTTTCACTTCATCTGAGCTGCAGTCAGTGGGAGCGTAGGCAGAAACGACAAAAAGGCAACGACGTGTGTCCCTATCCTTCCGAGTTCTTACGTAGCCGTTCAGCCGAACGGCACATAAACGACTGTTGACGGGGATCCACACTAGCAGTGTTTGTTCCGCCCTCATGCTTAGTGCTATGCCTACACCTGCCAGTCCACGAGAACTTGCCATCGGGTCACCAGATACACGAAGGGTGTATCTTGTTGGCTCTCCGTTTTGCCGAGGTGAGGTCAAGTGAATAACCACACTGGAATCCTGTATGCGTGTTTCGGAGACACAGCATACATCAATGGAAAGAGACTCTAGGGTTTTAGCCAAGGAAGCTTGCTGACCGATTTGACATAGGGTGCGTACGTTGAAGGCTCCAATGTGTAGTTTGGAGCGAGGTTTCAGTAGACCTGGGACAGTGTTTTGCGCACTAGAATCGTTGGCTATGGTGACACTTGAGGTGGAAGCCGAGAGAGGAAATTTAAAGTTGAAAGTCGATGTAGGAGGAATAATAGGAATTGAAGAGGGAGGTTGATTATGAATACAGTGGTCTTGGGTGCTGTTAGAGGTATGAGGGCGGTTATCACTTCCCGGTTGCCCACACCGTGGAAGGGTTCTTCTGGAGGTACCTGAAAAGGAAATTGGATTAAAGGTGGTCTTAGTGACCTGAGAGCGTGACCGCAGTGCCCAAGGGACAACTGCTTGAGGCCGGTCACGCACGGCCTTTTCGTAGGAGGATTTTGACGTGTTAGCTCCGTTCTTCAAAGGGCCTTACCGCCGGAGACGGAAATCCGTGAGGTAAGGTGAGGTGTGCATTTTTAGGGTCGACCTTTTCTAACCCCACCCCTCCTTGTGGGAAGGCAGCATCGCTGTCATGCTGGTTGTCTGAAGGAAACACCTTACTGCTGTCACACCTCTGTACAGTCAGCAGTACGACTTCGCCTTCGGACCTTGGGTTTGTTGCTTTTAGTCTTACCGCTCTTCAACCGACCTGTCTGACGTGGTAGGACCTTGAGGAACGGTTGTTCCAGCCAGTATAGCTCGGTTGCTTCATCACGATAGGCAAGCCCGACCACCACGTCAAGGTATATAAATCATCACCACCACCATCACCAACCTCACTCGTCACTCGTCACTCATCACAAATTTATCGCCTCCAATATCACCATCATAGAATTCACAAACAAACTGTTTTATCACTCGACACTATTAGCATCACAACCAATTGTTACAACACACCATCTTACACCAATTGTCATTACACTCAACATAACATCGTTGTCGTCCGATCAGTCAGTTGTAGTATATACATCATATCAAATATATCTTCATATTTATACATCTCCTTCCTCTTCAAAACATCATCTCATGTTTCACAGATTATAAACTCTCCCACCAATTCATATTCACATGTGTTCGCATCTGCATACTTTCGCTTATCCTCCAATCACAACATCAACAAATTCTCTCATATACAACTCTACACCAACGTTACAAATCGTTATTCCCATTTAAAAACCTTGTATATAAATCATCACCACCACCATCACCAACCTCACTCGTCACTCATCACAAATTTATCGCCTCCAATATCACCATCATAGAATTCACAAACAAACTGTTTTATCACTCGACACTATTAGCATCACAACCAATTGTTACAACACACCATCTTACACCAATTGTCATTACACTCAAAAAAAGACACGAATGTACACCAGGAAATATATTACACATCATAATGTATAACAAATAATATACAGATGAAAATACAGAATACTTGTCTCAACTGTAGAACTTATGGTTAAAAGAATTATGATGCATAGCTCATAATTCCAACTATGCAGATATATTTATTTTTAAAGTACAAAGGGGGAATTAAACATCTCTAAATTCTATATCCCTCTTAATCTATCAATCCCCATTGGACATCTTTATGCATTTTGCTAATTTTATTTTAACTGATTATCTAAAAGTGGGATGTTTAAATAGTGTTTCAATTTGTAAATCAGCAGTGATTAATATTAAATTCCCTCTTATCGAGGTATTATTCATTACAAAGTTCTTATCACATGAAATTAATAATTTTTGGAAGAACATCTGAACCTGTCTGAATAAATTGTATTTTGTTCAAACACTACAAAACAATCAAGGTTATTTATTAGGTCTTCTTCTATGATATTTTTAACGCTCGTCATCTAGTTGTATGTCTCAGATGTTACTAGTGTTTCTGTAACAGAGAAATCAATGAAGTAACTTTCGTATCGTGATAAATATTGTAAACTCTTGTGATAAAATAATGCTACATATCAATATCTTTGTATCATGGTTTCATATATATAACTGTAAAAAAAGAAGCCGTTTACTATGAGATATATACATGGTTATATAAATTAACTGGTGTATAACTATCATAATAATACCAACGATAATAATATAGTTTCTTACCAATAATTCAACATCAGGATTGAATACATCTAACCACTTTTTCAACAAACTTTTATCATTACTATCCGTCTCATTCATGCATTCTTCATCTATTAGAGGAACAACCAAATAAATAATGTGATATATATATATATATATATATATATATATATATATATATATATATATATATATATATATATATATATATATATATATATAAAGGTAAGTAAAAGGAACTGAAAAATTAGTCTTATTAGCTGATGAAGAATTTGAAACTTAATACATACTCAGAAATAGTTGTCTACTACGGTTGCATTGTTAGCGAGTTTTGTTCATGGTTTTTTAATAAGATATTAGACTATTTATTCAAAAACTGGATAGACAGTAAAATTTTCTACGGATATCATAAATGATAAGATGAAAATCAATCATAGAAAGAGCTTACTAAGCACATTCAAAATTATTACAGGGAATATATCTCATTACTAAACATAGATCTTCTTTATTCATGTACCTGATTAATTTGTAATCAAAGTTAGTCATGATAATTGATGTTGGCCTTAACGACCTGAGAGCGTGACCGCAGAGCCCAAGGGACAACTGCTTCAGGCCGATCGCCGGAGACGAAAATCCATGAGGTAAGGTGAGGTGTGACATTTTTAGGGTCGACCTTTTCTAACCCCTTCTTTTCTTGTGAGAAGGCAGTATCGCTGCAGATGCTGGTTGTCAAAGGGAAACACCTTACTGCTATCACACCCCTCTAAAGTCTTTCCGATTACTGTTTATACTTTTGCTACCTCTACCACTATTGGAATTGAATCGACAACTGCATCTATGTGCTAATGTGGTATGGCAACTCGAACTAATGTACGTGCGTACGAAGTTCTACGTTGTTACTGACTAACTGACAACTAACTGTTATGGTTTTTATCATGGAACGTTGAAACTATAAAATCACATTTTACAAGATTCTTGATAATAAAATGGTGTAATAATAATGAAATTAATAATGAATACATCACAACTACAATATTGCGATATTATCCGGTAATCTGATGAATTATTTTAAACATACAAATCCCAATTAACAATAACTTGGTCGATAGGATTCGATCTGCACTAAAAGGATCTGACATATATGATATTAATCACCACCTAGTGATCAATCAATTGTAAATACATTTCAGTCGTACAGGAGGTCAGTCGCAACCCGGATAGTCCAGTGGTAACGTCTCTGACTGTGAAGCTGGGTTACATGGGGTCGCACCCCTCAGGGAGCATCAGTCCTCTCAAGAATAATACAGGTAAACCTTGCTGACGAGTGCCAAGTAGTACGAAACCTAGGTTCAAGTTTTCCTGTTGGCTACTTTTTAATCAACATGAAACAATTAACCTATTGGATCATGTTAATCTTTCATGTTTCATAATTGAAACCAGAACAAAATATTTAAAAAATTATACATAAATGTATAATACAATAATAAGTAATATTTTTACATTGAATTTAAATAATAACATTTTTACCAGGTTGGTTGAATTTACAATTATAAAATAAGACAGAATCATCTTGAGAATCATATATAGATGTATCTGAATTATTCATTGTCGGTGATTGTGTCCGAGTTAAAACACTTTTCACATCAATACTAATATTATTAACATCTTCATTATTCAATATAGGATCATGTAGATTATTGTCTTCAAGCTGTTCTTTTTTATCATCACAAGGTGATATCACTATAAAAACAATGATAAAGGAAGTTTATAATATTTAGTTAGGTATTACAATGTTCAATGTATTACCTTTGTAGAAATTATTTTAACCAAATAACTCTTATGGTATCTCAGAACGAAAAAAATGCTATAAGAGATCATGAATTATCCTCTAGCCTAACAAGATGTTTAAAGTTAATGACATTTTTCTAATCATTCATTCAGGACGAAATCATGATGAGTTATTCTGATTTTATCATCGCTGGTTTATCGATAATTTAATGCGCATTGATATAAGTGATAATATATGACAAATGAGGATATCACGTGTAATATTACTCTTAAAAATGTAAAAGAGTCGTTACTTATTGATATGCTAACCATATACTGAATACCTCATTTGTAAATTTCCATCAATTGTCCTTCACATTTTGTATGATTCTTCAAATTCACAATTCCTTTTTATTTTCCCTTCTATTCTCTTCAACTCAATCTTCATAGTCTTCTGAGCGAAAGTACAATTTATGGACGAACCAATCACGTATAAGATAACAGGTCTCAGATTTTGGCGCGAAATTCACTCGTACATTTGGTTAAATAGAGTTTTGGCATTATAGCTTATGTCAGTTCGTGATGAAATCCTTAAATCTAATTCCTAACCTTAACCATCAACTGCAAATCATAATTCGAATCACTCACACTAATTTCTAACCCACATTTGGTCCTAGTTATCAGATGGACACTATCAATATCAGTCTAGTGTCGCTCAAAGGTCATCCATAGATTACAGTTTCACCGTCTTCTGCTGCCAGGTTTTCCACTTCCGAATACTGTTACAAACTACTTATGTCTGTTGACATAAGTAGCATACACCACAGTATCACTTATAAACATAGAATTATTAAACATAGTATGTAACTCAAAATTTACAATTAATATATAGCACTAATTAAGTTAAATAAAACTAATTATTAGACTAGACTTTTAAAACAACAAAGGAATTTAATCATTAAAATGATCAAAATTATACATAGTAAACTAAAGATAGTCAATTCCAATTAAGGAATTCCAAATAATTAATATTTACATTTAGAAATTAATGATTCATGTAATTGAATTAACAAACAGAATAAGAATTAAAATAAACCCAACTTACAATGATTATTATTATTATTAGTTTGATTATTTCTTGAACATTTAATTTGTACATATTTAGTGTTACGACATATACTTTTAACTTTTTTCAAAGCTTGTTTACTTTCTAATCCCTCAAGCTTCTGATAATTCACCTAGAATAATAATTAAGGAAATAATTTCAGAAAAAAAAGGAAAAAAAGACAATTATGATGTGCATTACAAATTAATAAAAGTGTATTTTCAAACAAGTTAGGTAAATTATTTTATTTATTTATTTAAACACATAAACATTGGTACAAAGAAGGCACCAAATATACGTACATCACATAAATCAGATGATTTATGTGAGGGCTGAGATACTGCCCAAGTTCCTAAACCGAAGCAGCTGGTTTTCTTACAGGAACAGAACCCCTAGCGTTTGACCTAAAGGTCTAATCCACAAGCCAGTGGAGCAACGTAAAGAGATGCAGTCCCATGGTTGCCGGTGACCAACGACTAGTTCACACGCCATTTATTCTGTCGTGAGCCCATGTGCACCATTGGTTTCTGGAATCAGGGTTTTTGATGGAGTTTTGTTCTCTGAGCTGGATGGTTTGGTCGTGGAGCTTTCATCGTTCTTCTGAACGACATCATCAGCACAAACTTCAGATAGAAGTTTGTGCTGATGATGTCGTTCAGAAGAACGATGAAAGCTCCACGACCAAACCATCCAGCTCAGAGAACAAAACTCCATCAAAATCATCCACCTGAGCTACAAATCTTCTCCACCATCTCGGAATCAGGGTTTTCCAACTTTCTTAGGTGGATCCTTCATATCCGCCAATCCGGCTAAAGCGCCCAACATTCGCTTTTCGTCCTCTGTAGTTAATTTAATTGTCATTTTTTAAGCAATAATTTATTTTCAGAAAGGGGTTTCGGGGAGATTGTAGTAAGTTTAATAGTTGAACTCATGAGTCAATCTAAGCTAGACCACCATGGAAAACCTGGAAGCACTAGATGGTCATTTCGTTCTAGTATGAGACTCCTCAGCAATGCGCATCCACGGTGGTGCAATTTCGTGGGTTTGTTGAATTTAGATATTTACCTCGTTGGATGCTGACCGGCTCATTAGTCTAGAGGTTAGGCACTCGCGCACGAGACCGAAGTTCATGGATGCGCACTACTGAGGAGTTTTATATTAGGACGAAATGGCCATCTAGGGCTTCCAGGATTTTTTATGGTGGTATGGCTTTAATTGACTCATAAACTCAACTATTAGAGAATTTACTTATATATTTATTTATTTTAATTTTCTCGCTAATGTGTACTAAGTAGAGTTTTTTAAAATAAATGGTTGATATCAATCAGTTAATGTACTGAAATCAATCCACTTGAAAATGTCTAAATTACATAAAATGTTATTTGATCTTCAAAACTGAATTAGTATTTTATGAACACATATTCTAGACGGGTATATTGATTCTATTCCACATTGAAAGACGGTTTTTCTTTTAATTCAATATTCCTACATCGAATTATCAGTTGTATTAGTTATTATCTGAAAATTATATGACATAATGGAATAATACATTTACAGTTTTATTTCCTCCACTGAACATGGTTTCAGAAATTGTCCCATGTTACATTTTTCAGATATTTCATAAGTATCAAATATTGAAAAACTTATTCAGGACGGCATATTATCAATTATGAAATCAGTTTGTTTATGAAACTTCAAACAACAGACTACACAATTTATAGACTAATTATTTAATCAATCATAGTGAATTGTGACCTCTACAGTCACTCCTAGAGTGTAGGGTAAGTTTTACTTTGAATAAGTACTGTAATTTATTAAACGGTTGTGGGATCAAACAACTTCAGAGAACATTTAAGCGTGTTTTTTCTGAATTTTTTATAAAGGAAAATCTGTGTTTCCAAACTTCACCAATCGAGCTTTCAATATGAAGTTTTCATAAATAATTTTGATCACAATAATAGTAATCTGTTATTTGTTAAATTGTACTAAACATTGGTTACAATTTTAAACAAAATTACCTCAATTACACGATCACCTTCTCTTAAAACACCATCTCTTTCAGCTTGACTATTTTTGAATATAGATACAATGTGAATTCCTGTATTATCTGTTAGATTTATTAAAAAAATAACAACAAAATAAACGATCATTCAGTCATCCTAGATTACAGACAAAAATAACTTTATCAGTATGTAATATTCGTCAGTTCTCAGAAATTCCTACTAACTGTGTAATGGAATTCAATTGTTACTAAAATATTATGAGTAAAACTGAATATTTCACTGTAGTTAATTGATAATGATAAGTCACAGTCTAGTGTAATGATATATTTCACTTCAATAAAAATCTATAATTTACTCTCAGGGTTTTTTTGTACTTTGGATGATGTAACATCTATTTAACGAAAAACTATGTTACCAGAGAACAGTTCTTAATTGTATTTATAAAATCTCAGCGAATGAATTTGAATTTAATCCAACGTTTCGTCTAGCAATCTGGTCCAAGCTGAGATTTTACAAATACATTCTTCTTTAATGTCTCACATCAACTGGGCGCCCAAATACTGTGAAACTATTCGATCAAATTTAGACGAAAGTTCTTATTTAATAACACATCCTTATCATTCCTCTTCAATAATTTGTCAGATGGAGATTTAATATGAATGAACTCTCATCATTATAATGGTAATTGGTATCTGGTAGGATCATAAAGCGTTTCAGTTTATCACAAAATAATATTCATGAACACTTCAATCATATTACATCATACCTTGATTGGATCCTATCTGTAGACCAAGCCCATTTTCATTACCTTCATTTTCAAGAACTGTTTCATAACAACTGAATAAACTGTTATTCTCTGCCGTCTGCAATTTAAGAAATCAGTAAGCTTGACAAAATTGCTGAATTTAAAATGGTTTTTATAAACTAATTTAAAACACCTAATTAGTTACAACTTTTTGTCAAAAAGTTTATATAAATATTTCTAAAATCAAAACCCACTTGATGTTGTTTGCTTGTATCTTCCCATTGTTGTTCAGGACTGCAACTGATCAGTCTCTTGTTGGCATATGTGCATCCTGTGAGGACTACCTCAATATTGCCTTAAGTCACAAGCTCCATAACCAAAGATGGAGACTGATCATTTGCAGTTCTAAACAACAATGGGAAGATACAAGTAAACAACATCAAGTGAATTTAGAACTTCAACCCATTGCACAAGCAAGTGGCTATCAGGACTCAGTAGCTAAGTGGATAAGGTGATGGCGTTTGAGGCGAAAAGTACTGGGTTCGAGTGCCATAGTGGACATCAACTCTGAGATGCAAGTACTTCCAGATGACAAGTCTCAAGTAGGACAAAACGCGCGTCCTGGATTCCACTGCTGGCCACTATCCATCTTTGCTTATAAAATCGAAATCTTTTGATATCCCAAAACTTTGTCACAAAATTATATGATCATAAATTAACTGCCTTTAGTGTTGCTACATTTATATGAAGCAAAATTCAAATGATTTTTGGCGATCAGTAAGTAGATTGCTTTGGTTATTTATGCCATGATAGCCTGAATAGTGATTTTAGGAATTGTGATTGTCTATGGATTATTTGATTAGGCACCATTTTGAAAATTAAGTATGAATTAAACTTACTGGTAATTCATTTGTCTCGTTATTAGCTATTTGATTGGACCACAATGAATTTGACTTTGGATAACGAAAAATGACAAGAACTGGTGGTTTAAAATCTGTTAAACTAGTTTGTTCGCTAGGAACTTTATAAACACTACTATTTCTATTATAATTATGATCGCGGGAAATCCCAGTGTTCTGATAAGGCCTATTAAGTAGATAGTTTGCTAAATCGTAAATATTTGAATTTGGTGCCAATCCATCCAGTTCAATTAGCTTGTATCTTAGTTGTTCTAATGTATGCCAGTCTAATGGGTAACCTGATATTGAATATATACGATCTCCCATATGCAAATCCATTGCACTGTGATAATAAATAAACAAAACATACAAACAAATATAAACCTCTTGTCTTATAGCTCAACTTTTAATTCTTTTGAAAGCATTTTCAAGTATATATATGTATATATACTGGTAAAAAAAGAAAACTCTTCTTTTAAGCACACAAAACAAAAATGTAAGTCAGATTATATTTAGTTGATTTGGGAAGCTTATTAAAACTCTTCAAAGCCTTTTATTCATGAATCTCATGAAACATACGGTATAAGGCAACCATATACATATATTACAATTAGTTGAACGGGTAACAGTCTTTGCTACAGCTTTCCAAATTCGCACATTATATGCTAAAGTAAAGGGGTTCATAAGCTTAAACTAGGCGAGTAACCATATGTTTCCACTTGAACTAACATATGCAGCAATCTAATATTGACGCCAAAGGCACACTCTTGTTAACCTTTAGAAAATTGTCATAATCGATTCCACTGCAAAACGACATCTTCAATGTTTACCGATTTTATTGATTCACAAGCATAACAGGCTATATATTAGAACTTTTGTCTAAATTTGATCGAATAGTTTCATAGTATTTGAGCGCCGAGTTGATGTGGGAGATTAATGAGGGAGGAAGTATTTGTAAAATCTTAGCGAATGAATTTGAAGTAAGCCCAACGTTTCACCTGGCAATCTAGTCCAAGCTTTTTCAAGGAATTATAATCAAACATCAAAATTATCGAATATCTTACCTTCTTCATTAATGTCATGAGACTACTTAATAATTACTGTCTTCAAAGTGCTTACTTTGAGGAACTGTACACAGTCATATGTAATATTTAGGACAATATGATGAAGACAATCTTAATGACTGAAATCAACATTTTATCGTTAAGAGTGATAGGTGAATATCACTACAACCTATAAACTAAGTAAATAGGTTATATTTATTCATCCATATCTAATTGTGATCACTTTTTATTTTTCTTACAAAATAGTGATTTTTCATTAATGATGGCTATGATCCGATGTATGAGAAGTAAACACATCTAATTGTGAATATTTACTATTTATGTAGCACTGACCCTCTTGACCTTTAGCTAAAACAAAATTAAAGACACATTACCCGTTTTTGAAATACCACTGTAAATCAGCTAATTAAAAATTTTGAATAAAATGGTATCTTTCACTTTCTTAACCTAAACTATCTAGGGCTATCAACCGGTCTAGATACTAGACTCGCTTGATTATTAACAATCCAGCACCATTGTAAAACACCTCTTAAAGCCTAGTACACTGAGCTAATGTGATCACTGAATTTTATTATGTTTTTAAGAAAATCTTTAAATTTTATCCTGTTTGTGATGCTCCTTTAATGCGCTGTCGAATAATCGACCAATGAAAAACATCTGATGTCATGTTGTGTATATTGTGATAGGAGAATTTAGTAATTCAAATTAACAAGATGAAGACTGAACTGAAAAAGTCAATACTAAGTTGGAATTCTAAAAATATACAATAGTTATGTATGATTAAGAGAAAGCTTTGAATTTAAGCTTTCAATTTATTGACAATTAATAAAACATCACTTGATATTGCTTTACTTGAATCTTCCCATTGATGTTTTAGGACTGAAATATGATCGGTCTCTTATTGGCATATGTGCATACTGTGCGTATGCCTCGATATTGCCTTAATTTACAGGCATTATAAGCAAAGATGGATAGTGGCTAGCAGTGGAATCCAGGACGCGCGTTTCGTCCTGTTTGGGACTCGTCAGCTGGATGTACCTGCATCTCAAAGTTGATGTTCACTCTGGGACTCGAACTCAGTACCGTTCGCTTCAAACGCCATCGCGTTATCCACTTAGCTACTGAGTCCTGATAGTCCTAAAACATCAGTGGGAAGATTCAAGTAAAACAATATCAAGTGATTCAAACTTCACCCCATTGCACAAGCAAGTGGCTATCAGGACTCAGTAGCTAAGTAGATAACGCGATGGCGTTTGAAGCGAACGGTACTGAGTTCGAGTCCCAGAGTAAACATCAACTCTGAGATGCAGGTACATCAGGCTGACGAGTCCCAAACAGGACGAAACGCGCGTCCTGGATTCCACTGCTAGCCACTATCCATCTTTGCTTATTAATAAGACATGTCTGAAACCCTGCTGAAAATTACGACATCCAAAGAATTTTACTATTGAAATACGGGAAAAGCAAACCACCTTATTCGAATCGAACAACTACACTATAGTTACAGATAAACCTTAGTGATGAATATAAGTGCATAAGAATGGTTTAACTGATGGTATAAGTACCATTTATATAGCAGCAGTGTGATGATTCTATACAGACAAATAATATAAAGCATTCGGAAAAATAAAATAGTAATATATTCAACTATTTTACTAGATAGCAATCGGAAAAAGACAGTCTTAACTATTTTGTATCAGATCGACACATATAAGAATACAAAATAACAATTACTCAACATTTATATACATATATCAGTCGTTAATATTCACAATAATTCAACAAATCACGTTGTCCAACATAAGGTGCATTGACTCCGCTTAATTATTGATTACACTAGAAAAATAATTAAGTAAACAATCTATCAACCAACTGAAGCCATCTCAACGCACGCACATATAAAGATATACACAAAATATCACACCTATTCTTTATATGTTTTTTTTTTCAATGTAATGTAAGTTAGTTCTAAAGGACAGAATAATAAACAACATAATCTTTGTGATGACAGCAACAAACAGTCATTCTCGAACTTTTGTTAAGTCAAAAATATAAACAAACAAAATAATTGTAAGAATTACATAATGAGTGAATTAATCAATGCAATCATGTGGTTTATATGAACAGTTACTAAATATATAACAAAACAAAGTAAAAAGAAGCGACAATTGGTACTAAGTACATATTCGGATTATATAAACACTTGTTAATAAAATAGTTTGCACAGAATAAAAACAATACAACTAAGAGGATAATCATATTTTTTCATTCCTCAATCAAAGCATGATATCCAACTTTTATTGAACATTTTTCTGTCCATTTAATGTGTCTATTGTGTATAAAAGAGTGGAATTCTCACTGGGGACATCATTTTAATCATCTAAAACTATGAGCATATATCTCCTATGGACACGCATCTAGACTTGACTCATTAAAAAGTAAATGAAATGTGAAGCTTGAAATGTAATCCTCAGTGGTAATTATGCTCTTATATGAAGCACTTATTTACCAAATGAACGAAAAAAAGGCTAAATATTGCACAAACATTAAAAAATGCACAGACACGTATTTTATCCCTAATACAATTTACAAAGCGACTATCTTAACCAATGGTTGGAGACTCTTGATGACATGGCTCAGAATAGATTACAGTGACGTAGGTATATACACTCTCTGTCTTGCTTTAAAATCGCTTCATATCTTTCTTTCTACGTACTAATTCTTTCTTTCTATACTATGTTCTTATATGCAATCTTTCTTTTATATATTACCACCATTGAATTAACTACTTCTATGAATCCGGTGTTCATCTTTCTGTGTTAATGGAGTATGGCAACTTAGACCCATTCATATATGTTCCTGGTCCTACGTTGTAGCTGACTGACTGACAATTTACAAAACAAAATGAATTCATCATTTTAATTCATGATGTTTCATCAGCTGTAAACAGTTTAAAATTACAAGGAGTTGATGAAGTTGATATGGATTTTCTAATTAGAACTGAAAATCCTAATAAAAAGAATACAATGTACAATGTGATTAAACATAAATAAGAATGACACTTCTAAATAGGTGTTCTTTCAATTTAGATATTACACAGAACAAAACTCATTCGTTATAATTATTCAACAATAACTAAGTATAGATTTGTTTACTCATGAATGAACTACACATTTTATAAATAAATTAAGATAGTTGTAATATTCCATGAGTAAAAAAATTAAATTTTCTGATGTTTTGCGATTCAGTGTAAGTTTTTTCTTTAGAGAATAAATAACCAAATCATTGAAATATTACAAGTATATAAATTTACTTATAACAATCTATCCAATACTCAATTTATTCGAAATTATCAAGTCAAACAATGGTAATGGTACCTATATGCATATTTTATGTAAGAGTTAGTAATATCAATCAATGACTCAAACCAAACTAAGTGAATTTTAAATCTATAAGCCATGTTGATGAAAGTTTGTATTATTATTATCACCATCAAAATTATGAATTAGAAGTTTCAGAAGTTAAACTTAAGTTCTTTCATTTATCTGACATGATACATAGTATATTTATTATTTCAATATATTAAATGTTTATTATTAAATATCCAAAAAACGATAACATTCATTAAAGGTAATAAACTTCTCAAATTTACTACTTCTAAAATTCATGTACATACTTCCAAGTAGTATAGTAATATAATTTATTATCATTAAAATACATACAATCAACAGTTTATTAAATTCGATAATGAATTACTTTTTTTTTGGAATTGTATCAAATTACAAAATGCTCAAAATGTAAAGTTATATTTATTACTTTAGTTGTATAAGGTAAACAAACTTATAATGGTGATTAGTGAGTATGACCTTAGCAACATTCTCTATCATTAATCTAATAATTAAAATCAATTAAAAATTTACGAAGATATATATTTATATATCCGTTTCACATTTATAAATATTCTTCATTGACTAAATCAATAAATCACTTACAAACAAATAAACAAACAAAAACAACTGAAAAACTTTATTCTAATTGTTATGTCCTTAACTATATGATTACCGTGAATTACGATTGCCAATTTAGATACTCTGACTTATACAATCCAACTTGTGATGAATAAAGCAGTACGAGCAGCCTAAAGTTCTGATTAGTCCCTTTTCCCAACTAGTCCTTCCTCTTAAGTCCAGAACGCTAATATCAAACTCCGAGATCGAATCACATATTTCAAACATACTTGGTTTATATACAAGTAAAATCAGATCACATAAAATCATAAAATAGAAAATAAAATATGTACAAGATCAAGCTAAATGTAGCTGTGATTGTAAGTAAATGTTATTTATAAATTGGGAATATCTCAAGAATAAATCGTGCGATATTAATCAACAAGTCAAATAAAAGCTTATCAGTCAGTCAATCAGTCAGCTACAACGTAGGACCAGGTACATATATGCAACGGTTCAAGTTGACATACCCCATTAACATAACAAGATGAACACCATATTCATAAAAGTAGTTAATTCAATGGTGGTAATATATAAAAGAAAGATTGCATATAAGAACATAGTATAGAAAGAAAGAATTAGTACGTAGAAAGAAAGATATGAAGCGATTTTAAAGGAAGACAGAGAGTGTATATACCTACGTCATTGTGATCGATTCTGAGCCATGTCATAAAGAGTCTCCAACCATTGGTTACGATAGTCACGCGAACCCCAACCAAGTAGTCTGCATCTACCAACGTGGCTCAGACTAGAAGTTAGTGTCTTCAAGCACTGATGCCACGTTTCGGTTTGACCGCACCTAACTTTCTTCCAACCATCCCCAACACCGATTAGCATTGCACGTCGTGGTAATTAGTGTTCAGGCACACGCAACACGTGGCTGAAACCATTTCAGTCGATCAAGATTCACAAACCCATTAACTGATTTACCATCATTCCCTAATACCCTGCGTCTAACCCCACTATTACTTACCCGGTGATCCTAGCAGATGCGAGCAATATTTCTAAGACAACTGTGGTCAAATACTAGTACCTTACGAAAATCTTCTACTCTTAATGGCCATATTTCAGAGCCGTAAAGAAGAACCGAACGAACTGCCACGCAGTATACTCGTACCTTGATAGACGAACATCTCACCTTCGATGTAGGTGATGCAAGTTGGCAAAAGTCGAACGGGATTTTCGAAACCGTGCACAGATTTCGTCAGACAACAACCCATTAGGGCTGATCAGACTTCCAAGATAAGTGAAGTTGTTAACGCGTTCGACTACTTCACTCTCTATCCTTAGTTCAGGTGTTGACGCAGACCACTTCTGAAGCAACAACTCGCATTTAGAGGGAGAGAAGCGCATTCCAAACATTCTGGCATTGTTGCTTAATGCTGCCAGAAGACTCTGCATTTTATCAACGTCTTCACCAAACAGGACTGTCATCTGCGTATTATAAGTCGATAAGTGGACCTCCTGGAAAGAGATCAATACCTGAGAATTCAGTTGACGAGAATGTGATTGTTACCTTGACGTGGTGGTCGGACTTGCCTATCGTGATGAAGCAACCGAGCTATACTGGTTGGAACAACCGTCGTTCAAGGTCCTACCATGTCAGACAGGTCGGTTGAAGAGCAGTAAGACTAAGAGCAACAAACTCAAGGTCCGAAGGCGAAGTCGTACTGCTGACTATACAGAGGTGTGACAGCAGTAAGGTGTTTTCTTCAGACAACCAGCATGACAGCGATGCTGCCTTCCCACAAGGAGGGGTGAGGTTAGAGAAGGTCGGCCCTTAAAATGCACACCTCGCCTTATCTCACGAATATCCGTCTCCGGCGGTAAGGTCTCAACAAGTACGGAGCTAACACAAAAATTACTCATAAAAAGGTTGTGTGCGACCGACCTCAAGCAGTTGTCCCTTGAACACTGCGGTCACGCTCTCAGGTCACCAAGACCACCTCTAATCCAATTTTCTTTTCAGACACCTCTAGAAGAACCCTTCCACAGTGTGGGCAACCGGGAAGTGATAACCGCCCTCATACCTCTAACAGTACTCAAGACTCGTGTATTCATAAAAGCTTGTAATGGAAGAAATATGAATATACATAAAATACAATTACTTAATATTCATACAATAAAAGTATACGTATAATATTAATCCGTAGGTAATTCCTAACGGTTACCATTCATTTATTCTCGTCCGGATATAACACATATCCTGATTGAATATAATGAATGAAATTAAATATTGTTAAGATATTTAAACAAATAAACTGAAACCATTGAAAGCGATTAATTGATTATTGTTAGTCCTTTAAATAAATTATCATTCTGTTATTTAATTGGCAACATTTAAATTATATAATAAAATAAAATAAACATAAGAAATTAGTTGTTACGCAGTAATCAACTGATGTAAATTGTATGATCAGATAGATGAAGGTAAAACAGTATCTAGATTTGTAAGATATAATGGTTGGTAAAATTACTTAGTTATTAAAATTCAAAGAAGATACCTTATTCAACTTCGAGAAGAATCATTATGGTTACAGCGTACATCAACAGTTTGTAATTTAACAACCAATGAGAACAGATATTTATGGTTGTTATATATCATATTAGGTAAGAAGTATTTCGGATAACTGATATTGAGTGAGTTTTTCATAAAATGTTATTGTTCAAAAGATAAATTCTTGATTATTCCATCTTCTTCTGCTAAATAAAACTGGCTTAACACTAAATACCATTAAAAACAACTAATACAGTGATTTTATTGTTTATTTGAAACGATAAAATAAAAACCAATTTCTAGTATGCAATTAGATGAAAAGTTAATTACAGTGAAATAATGCTTACTTGCTTGCTGGACTACCATGTTCTACTCCTGAAACAAATAAATTTTCTACTTCCCCTTTAATGACTGCTTGTCGAAGAACAATACCTGACCTTCGATATCCGAATCGAGGTTGATAATCAGGCAACTGGATAGTGAATATACCTGTACCGTACGGTAAATGTAAGCCAGTGATTCTTTTTTTAAGTTGATCCATTGAAAATGGAGGCAAACCTGTTTGAACTTCATTGATGTTTGCATAAGGTATATAATTGTCCAACTCGTCCTAAAATGAGCAGAACATCGTTGTATAAAAATCTTTGAAATTGATCTATAGGATATAAATCTGTTTGACTGTAAATTTAAAAAAATGTATTTTAGCCAAAGTATTAGGTAAAGACCTATATAAAAAATTAAAATGAATCAAGGTGGATTTTCAGTTTCCATCATTGTCATGTGTTTATAATACGGAGATGACTGTGAAAGAGAAACTTTAAAATGCACGCCTTTTGTAAGAAAAAGCAAATAATTATGGCTTATGAAATATTGTCTTTTAATCTAAGGTTATTGATATAAAATGTTTATATGATATGTCAGTAAGTACATATCATTTGCAACATCTATTCCAGCAGTAAAATGGTCAGATTAAGATATCTTATGAAGTTATTTGATATCTTAAACTGATATCAGGTGGACAACTCTTGGAAATCAGGTATAACTGGACAATTTTTTTTCAAGTATGAGACTGCTCAACCCGAAACCCTGTTGAAGACGCAGTCCATGACGTTTAGGTCCTGTGAAGCAACTTGTTTAACTACTGGTTTTCAAACCAGCCGTTAACATTTAAGTCTCCGGCTAATTAACAAGGTGAGCCCATAATAAGTACCATCATTGGTACCTATTTTCCTCGCGTTATGATCAAACTTCATTCGATAAGGTGAATAGCTTAAGAATCCCGTCTTAAATCAGTCCAACTGTAGCTATATCATTATAAATAAATTTGAAAGTCCGTTCCAACCATTTAACTTATAGATACTTTGCATCACTAGGTCGAACAACCTCCATAAGCTCTTTAACTCATCAGGACGCTTTTAGTGTTCTATCGATTTTATTTTATAAAAAGAAGCATTTATTTGTAAATTATGTATTCTGTCACTCAATTTGACTAAGTTACAGATAATAAATTAAAGACTCCAGTAACTAAAATATCTATACGGTTGTTGGTATAATTATTGGTAACCCTAAAAGTCTTTTAGTACACGTTACGTATATTGCTTATAGCTCAGTAATATTCTCCAATTAAACAGAATTTCAAGATTTGATCTTTGAGACAGAGAACTGAGCATCATTATCAGACATCTAAAACATAATTTACCTACTCAAAATACACTGTACTGATATGACAATTTTCATTTTCAACATTAAACTCTTGCTTTAGACGCATGTTATTTTTCTCATGTCCTCAACTTTAGGATCTGTTTCAGATAAAGTCTCATAATCCAAGCTTTGAACATTTAGTAAATCAGACAATCTAAAGTTTCAGTCTGTCTTTTGATGATGGCAATACAAGTCGTGTCCCCAAACAGTTTCCTCACTCCTTGGCCTCTCAATTTTTTGTTGTATAAAAACCTTTTACTTATTCATTAGCTAGTCAAATTTATAAATTTTGAGCATTATGTCCACTAACTTGGGTCTTAATTATCCTAGAAATATATTTTCTAATACCTAGACAAGTAATTTTCCTGGTAACTTTGTGCATTTAGTATTCTTAAATATTTACAGTATTATTTATTTTGTAGTATGCTAAATATATACCATGAAATTAGTAAACCTATGTCATCCTGATAAAATTTCATTTGTTTGCTTACTTCATGATGCAGGAGAAAAGGACAATACGAAATATAGATTAATTCACTGAGACGTGATAAAAAATTCCAGAGGAAACACCAGATCCCTTAAATTGAGAATGATCGTGTTTAAGAGTACCAACTAGCTGACCATCTTCAATCAAGTGGCAGTAAGTAGTCATATTAGCTTAAGTTCAAATCCTCTCAATCTTACACGCAAGCTAAGACCATATCGATGTTCATTTACCATTAAACGGACTTTTTTCATTCTATGTGTTGTTTTAAACATTAATAGCCAGTTGAAGATCCTCCTACCGCACCATAAGTCAAAGGGCTAAACTATTGCAGTAAATCGTTTGGTATAAGATACATTGCCAAGATGAGAAGAGGTATTTCTAATTATTTACTATTCAGGTCTACTGGTCGAGGAAGTAGTTTTCACCATAAGTGTTCTGCAACAAAAGGCAGCCAAGAATTGAGGAAGTTACTAACCCGCAGTATCTGACAATGACCAATTTCACAGGATATTTTTTCAATATTCATTCAGATTACCATTGAGTAACTAAATACTTAAAATTGATATTCTGGTAGAACTAAAAGTAAAACCTTAAAGTTGTTGCATCAGTACGCAATATTTCTAATTTGTTCATCTGCGTGCATTAGAAAGTATAAATTAACGTGTACTGCGCAGCAGTACCTCTAATAACCTTACTATATGAATGTTGAGTAGTTGAGATAACTTGATGACTACGTGCAAGCTCATTTATTTGGACTGCGATTAAAATGTTCATACTTGGGATAGTTGTAACACGCGGGTACAGGAACCTATGTAGATGGATCCAAACTTGGAATAGTACTCAGTGTGCCTCCGCTTTGTGCTGAATATCAGGGTAACCGAATAGGTATTAAACAAGAGTTTTGTAACTGAAAAGGTATTTATATTTTTATCAGTAAAAAGTTATACACTTCTTAGATATTTTTAGTGAATATGTTAAGAGACTCCAACAAGTTTGAAAAATGACATTAGAGTACTAGTCATAGAAATTATTTTGCTAGTAACCAGAAAACGTGTGTGTAACAACACTAAACTGAGCATGCAGATGTAGCAGAACTTCTGCTATAAGGCAACAAAGATAGCGAAGTGATTCTATTTGTAGTACGTGGGCAAACTTCAAAAGAGCGATGGCTATGCCTACATAAAATTTTAGGGACTAACAACGAAAACAAAGTTCATTAAATGACGTCCCAAAAAGCGGGTAGATGGACACCACAGGTGAATTTAACAAACAAATATTACTTAAAGTAACGAAATACACATCTTGACGACTAGGATATTTTTGGCATAATGTTGGTCGGCCGGTTATGCTCGACGTAAACGTGACAAAAATGTGGATAAGTTCAAGTTCCCACGGCTAAACAAATCTGTTTTAATAAGAACGAAATTTGGTGAAATAAACATGAGGTTCTGTAAGGCTAAATGATGAAAATTTTGAAGAAAATAAAACCAGTCCACTTTTTTAGCTTGATCTCGAAGAACAATGAAAAGTTCGGTTAAATTGACTATATTAACGAGCATGTTTCCAAATTCGAAACTTATTTTCCGCAATAAAGTTCACCAAAGCTTCGAAAAAAATTGTCTTTTCTGAGACCCTTCTCGACGTCAACGGACAAAAGTAGTGAATTCACCCATATCAACAAGACTTTATATTAACCTTAACTGTGTCTTCATCACCTAGTAGTATATGTAAGTTGATCCAATTTTAAGACTGTAAATCTTCATAATCTAACGACAATAAATTAAATATTATAGTAGCACACAAACTGGTTATCCGATTATTTTTGTATTCTTACCAAAATAGAAGGACGATTAACAATGTTTACAATATCATAACATCTGACCAATAACTCGGATTGTAACATAGAATATACATGTTCAGCCAAACGGTTAAGGGAAAAGTTTCCTTTACTTTTTGATTCTTGAACCAATTTCAGCACAGAAGATCTTACTATCTCTACCATAAAACGATAAAATATGTTTGATGGAAATTACCGAAATCCATCGCACGTTATACACAGCGCTGGTTAGTATAGCTTTGAGTGAGCAAGGTAGAAGGCAGCTTAAACAAGAAATGGTGAGAAGCGACTTACACTCTTTGGTCACTAGCATTTACCTGCCTCTTACTAACTTGCTTCGTGAAGTACTTTCAAGCAATATAAATTCTTCAGACTATTAAACCTCCAAAACAAGTAGTATTCAAAACCCATTGCTTTTTTGATCCATTAATGTAGACCAGTTGATCTATTGTACATCCTGTTACGTGTCTTAGCACTGTCCACTATGAGTAGTCTTGCAAAAATAACACAACTGTAATGTTTACTAGCGTCTTCTGTCTTTTTGATGTACTTTAAGAACTCATACAGCTTATGCCTATTGAGTTATTTTCGTCTTCTTAATAACTCTATCTTCTCCATAAGTCATTACAACATATAGCACATGTACATACCTTAATTTTTTCTTGTTAATTTTATAGTTGAGCGTCTTTTATTGTGCTTGTAGGGTCAGTGAAACGTCACTGAGCCCTAGCTAAATCATCAGGCAGTCGGGTTACCGATTGTCGAACTGTCCACCGATCCACCTCAGCGATAAGGTCAACCAACATGCATTAGTTATTTATGCAGTAGTGGTCATACTCTGTTCCTTGTTCCTACTCAAACTAATATATTTCTGTAATAACCTCGTTTGTGTTTTACGGTAATCAGATTAGCCATATTAATTAGACAAGATGAAACGGTGATCCGTGTTAGGTACCAACCGTAAGGTGTGACTTTTGAGTCAGCTGGTTGGTCACATCATCCTCATCTAACTCAAGTAGGCCCCCAATCATTCGACATAGATCATCTACGTTGGTGATCTATATACTTGTGAGTGCCTATAGATTTACTTATCCTACACAATATACATCACTTTACTTGCGTTATTTAGTGCATGATTAGAATTGTACAAACACTAATAACAAGAAATATCTTGGTTTTTGCACGTTTCTTATCACCGATTCGTGTTTGTTCATTTGTTTGCACTGATGGATGTGTGAAACGCATGTTTTTGAGGGAACTCTGGTACTTAATTTTTGCCATTATATCACTAGCTAATATGATGAAGTCAATGAAAATACATACGGAATTAATTTAGAATTTCACATAATCTTTCATTGTTGTTACTGATTTGAGGCGAGTATTACCACGAAATTCTAGCCACTGAGCTTCTGTACTCTTAGTGAGTCTCACACTTATTTGAAGGCCAATATTTTTTGTTCTTTCATATTTGGTATACGGAGAAGATACTCGTCGGAAGTGGACAACTTTGATATGCACATACTGCAAACAAAGGTGGAGGAATAATCAATAAAAAGGAGGTGGCAGTCAGTGAAGCGGGCAGGAAATGATGTGGATAATAATCATTATAACTTACGAAAGACACCTCAGTCACATCTATTACATATGAAAAACGGTAAGACACAGATAAACACACAACTGTTAAGTTTCCTCTTGAGACTATCCACTAAAGAGGCCATGGCCAATATGCATTTCCTGTGGTGAAACAGCTCACTTAAAGATAGCCTAGAGTTATCGAATAACTCATTATGCTTTGTAACTCCTCCTGTAGCTCTTCTAGGGTTACTACCAGTTCCAAAACCAGGCAAAGAAGAAAACCTTGGTAAGGAAACGCTAACTTTAACAAACGAATTAAATCATTTAAACTCTACATAAGAAGTTGAACGATCTTCATGCAAAAGAATTGTGAAACCTCATGATGAAACCCGAGATCCTTAGAGAGTCAAGAAGATGATTCCACTTCTAACAGCCGAACCAGTAACTAATATAGATATGTGTGGTGTTCGCACAATTTGCGAGACCAAGAAGAACAACAAAATAACTGCTGAAATGAGGAGGTCCAAATTGACAGTGCTCAGAATAAGTGAAAACCTTTGTATACAAGCTGGACAGCGAAGGATAGATTAGGAAGAGATTCTGCTGTACTCCGGTCATGAGGAGGAAAATGCTCCACACACAGAGAGTTGATCCCACGATATCCAAAGAAGCACGTCAAGCACTTGTAGGATGGAAATCTCATGGACCAAGAATCATCAAATCATCTTTCAAAGAAAAGAAGGGAGAATCAGAACGAATATTATCCGATATTGTGCACCCAACAATATTAGCGGCGGCGACGACGATAAAGATCAGTTTTATGAGTGGATGTAATCAACTATCGAAAGTGCTCAGCAAAAGACCTGATCACTGTGATGAGAGACCTAAACACCAAAGCCGGAATGGACAACACCGGGTTCGCAAATATCATGGAGGACATGAACTTGCAAAAAGAAACGAAAATGAGGAGAGATTCACAAATCCATGTGCATTCAGCAACCTGGTTATGGGCTTTACAATGTTCCCCCACAAAAGCATGCACATAATTACATGGGTCTCACCGGATTACACTACAGGAAACCAGATCGATCATATTTGTATCACTAAAAATTGTCGAAGGTCAATGGAAGACGTAAGAACCAGGAAGAAATCATAATGGCCATCAGACAAATCGAGATAGGGAAAGCGGCAGCGCCAGACAACACACCAGCCAAAGTACTGAAGTCAGATGTTGAGGTAATTGCAAACATGCTCCGCGTTCTATTTGGGAAGATTTGGTAGGAAGAACAAGTGCCACTGACAGACTGGAAAGATGGATACCTCATCAAGATACCAAAGAAAGGAACCCTGAGCAAATGAGGGAAATATATAGGAATCACATTATTATCGGTACCAGGGACAGTTTTTAACAAAGTATTGCTGAACCGGATGAGAGACTCGGTAGAAGCCCAAGTTCGGGATCAACCGGTCGGATTCCGTAAAAATCAGTCTTGCACAGATCAAATCGCGATACTATGGATCATCATTGAACAATCAATTGAATGTAACTCGTCACTACATATCAACTTCCTTGATTATGAGAAAGCATTTGACAGAGTGAATAGATGAACCTTACGGAACCCTCATCGACACTATGGTATACCTGAGGAAATCTTCAACATAATTCGGAATTCATATGATGGACTACTCTGCAAAGTCGTGAATGAAGAACAGCTGACAGATTCATTCCAGGTATAGACTGGAGTCAGAAAAGACTGTATACTACCCTTTTTATCTTTCTTCTGATGGTTGACTAGATTATGAGGACATCGACATCTGAGTAGAAGCACGGAATAAATGGACAAGCTGGATGTAACTAGAGGATTTGGACTTCGTAGATGACCTAAATCTTCTACCTCATACACACGAACAAATGCAGTTCAAGACAAACAGTGTAGAAGCAACCTGTCCAGCAGTAGGCCTCAACATTCACATAGGAAAAAGCAAGATTTTCAAATTTAAAACAGAAAACACCAACTCAATCACGCTTGATGGAGAAGCTGTAAGTTGTAGAATCTTTCACGTACCTTCATGAGCGTGGAGGATCGGATGCAGACGTAAAGGTAAGAACGCATATGGAACTCAAAACAACCTTCAACCAATATCAAAGTCTGAATCTTCAATACGAACATAAAGGCAGTTCAATTGTACGGAGCTGAAACTTAGAGAACTACAACAACCATCATCAAGAAGGTACAAGTATTTATAAACGGTTGTCTACGCAAGATGCTCAATATCCATTGGCCGGATACCATCAGCAACAGCCTTCTCTGGGAGAGAACAAACCAGCTTCCAGCTGAAGTGGAAATTAGGAAAAGACGATGGAAATAGATAGGATATGTATTACAGAAATCACCAAACTGCATCACGAGTCACACCCTGAATTGGAATTCCGAAGGGAAGCGGAAAAGAGGAAGGCCAAAGAACAAATTAAGTCAGAAAATAAAAGCGGATATGAAAAGGATGAATAACAACTGGAAAGAGCTGGAAAGGATTGCCCAAGACATGCTTGGATGGAGAATGCTGGTGAGCGGCATATGCTCCTTCACGAGGAGTAACAGGCGTAAGTAAGTATTATATTTCGCAACTCATGCAGAACAACTTCATCTGTTAAATCTATCACGACATTCACTATAACTCTTTCATCCATATTACTGTTAACATCTAATCTTGTTCCAAGTGATTTATATCTCTTCTGAAGATTAATGGCAAAATATTGTTGAGTGTTTGAAGACGAGATGTAGGTCATGGATAGTTCCTGAAAGATGGTTGCAGTCAGCAATCTGTGGTCGAAGGAAATGAGGGGGTTGCTGATGTATAGGTTCTATGCCGGGAAAAGATTGTCTGGGTTCCAGAAAAGTGGTAACTTCGCACCAAGTAGTAGGTCTGGTGCTTCTCTATAATTTTCAAAGAGACTATCTGACATTTCTGTAGATTTGATGTAAGGCTGCTTTATTGCCCCCGTTATTAAGGTGGTGCTAGATCTGTTTGCATCTCTTGACAGTAAGTTTAATATCTGATAACTCTAAAAAGTTTAGTGTATTTCCCAAACTTAAAGACTGATGAACTTAGATACTCATAAGGGTCATCAGTCGATAGGAAAAGTAACAATGGGCTCATTATATATGTCTGAGAAGCTCTGGGCATGGGCGCTCTTAAGCTTTATTGTAACTTAAAAACTTTAAACAAAATTACTTAATTTTGCAAACAGTTGCTTAGTCACAAAAAAGTTGATCCCTGAACCCCATCACTCGAATTCAACATAGAGGAAGGAGTGTAGTGTTGTATTATTTGTCTTGGCGAAGTTCAAGAACAACGAGTGGACGGACACTTTCTGATCCAACAGTCTTTCCAGATGATTGGAGTCTGTCAGTGATTGTTTATTACAGGTGATTACCTCTCGTTTTCGATTTGGAAGACGTGAGACCAGTAGTTGCAGTATGTTTTTATTCAAATCGGGGAACAGAACAATTAGAGTGCCAAGTTACACTTTCAAATACACAAAGCTTTCAACATACTTTAAAATATAATGGGAAATATGATGCCTATTTGAGATAATAGAACAACATCAGTGTGTACCCGACAGATGTCGGATTCATTAAATCATCCGATTAAACATATGACATTTAGTCTGTGCTGAATACCTTTTATAACTTTGTTTGCTACCAAAGATACAGAAGGCGCCTGCAAGCTGGGAAAAATCAAAACAAAATGAAATCAATGATTGCTTCAAATGGCCCGTTACGTCTTTAGCGATAATTTTTTCCTCATGCATTCCACCGTGTTTTTCACATTACTTGTGCATCATCTATGAGGCACTGCTTCTAAATGACTTCATGAACATTCCTTACTGCAATCCAGTGCTAGCAGATTGATAAGCTTGCCCCCGACAGCCTTATGAAAGACTTATAGGTAACTTTTTGATGACATATCATCGTTAACATTATAGGACATACTCCAATATATCTGATTAAGCACGGTCCCAGTACAAGCCTCGAGATTAAGATCAAGAAAGTAGAGGCATAACACCGCAAACTTGGTTGTGAGTACACTTGCTTTTTTTGCCTCCAAGTTTCGAAATTTGTAATCGCCTAAAATGATCCAAACGAAATGAGTGAAGTCTTTCGAGAAGAGCCTGATATAGCCGTAACGCTTGTGTTTCACAACAAGTTTTCGCTTTCAATTTACTCTTCGTTTCATGCAACCACGTTTTTACCAAAAGGCATCGGTAACTGATTATTAATAAACACAGCTCGTTGGTCAAGAGCTCTTTGAAACCACTGTAACCATCAGAATATACGGTATTAACTAGCCTCAAATCTATCACTATCTGATGGCCTTAAACGTACACATATAGGTCCCACATTAGTAATGAAAAAGATTAAATATAGCTTTCTCATATTATCAGACATCTGGCTAATTTTCCGAGACCAAAAGATAGCGGTTCATGTTGTTTTTCCTAGACTACACGTAAGCGATATATACGGCACCGAATACAATACTTATAACGCAAATAACGATAATGTGCTTCGCTAACCCTCTTCTGACTGAGTCTCAAAGCTACCTAGAGAGCAAGACGTTTCGTACACGATCTGGATGGTCTTGACATCAGGGATTTCTCTAAGGACCATCTCAGAGGCTTCTCCTATTATTGACATCCTAGACAATATTGGCTTAGTGGTATGAATCTATTGTAATCCATAAAAAGCGATGAGGGTTTAAAGAGAGTTGTATTGAACGTTGAAGAGCTGTGTGTTTCAAAAAGACAACCTCGTGCTTTGCTGAACCATTCACGATCTGAGTAAAGACTTATCCACTTCTAGTCTGGTTTGTTCTATCGGTAGAACGAGAAGTGCTCATTGGCAATCACATCATAAAGGTTTCTAACACTGTTCAAAAAGTACTCACGGCATCACCTTAGAAGCCATAGGGTTATTGCGCCTCCTGTCCGCAAAGATGCACCTATTACCTACATCAACTATTGCTGAGCTATAGCGGAATAAGGGGCGATATAGAAATGTCACACAGCATACTAAGTTTTCCAGGACAGCGTAACATAAGAATACTAGCAGAACATTGATGTTACACTCCTCGAGGCAATTACTGAAAAGTTTTTCATCAAGGAGCAAAAACGTATGTAGGCCACCACCTTTTCTCATTAGGAATGAAGTGTCACCTCAGTCAAAGGGACTAAGCACCCCTCAGTGGATAACTTCATGTGGAGGCTTGACAAACACGTACTCACCGATGGATTACTGTCTCTCCCTTGGACTAGATATACCTGATGCATGTCTGGTAACGGACTTTGGTTATTTTCATCAGTTTTGAATAACTTATTCCGAATTTATTAACTACTATTTTCATCTAGTCTTCTAATGTTACACTATGGTCATTCGTCTGCATCACTAAATTATCAGTCCATCTATTAACTTGAATTGTTCTAAAAACAGTCGCTCCAAGTCGCAACCAACCATTTTACAGCCTGGAAGTCTAATAACTTCAGGTATTCGTAATCCCTAATGCACTCTCTCAGAATAAAAGATATACAAAACTTTAAATAACCATCAAGCTGACTCAAATTTGAGTAGATGAGTGGTTGAACATGAAACTGTACCTAAACAACAAGCAATGAGAGCAACAAAATCAATAACTTTATGCAAGCTAGTCATATGAATATTTAATATCGGATGAACTGTTGAGACGCCGTCATGGCATTCAGTTTTACCAGTAAAACTGGAATTGACCACAGAAAGCTAGAATTTCAAACGTTTGAATGTGTCAGCTTTACATGACGGTCTACAATAGGCGGAATGAGATGTTCACATTCAACTTGGTGTGGATGCTCACAGTTATTTCTTACTGCACAAGATTTTATGTGCTACAAAGCAGTCTGCTTCACTAACGGTCTCCTAAATCCGCAAGTAACCTGAGGTCACCGAGATCCGCACTCTTCGTTTGCTTCCGTTATGCAGCCTCTCATCGACAAGCCAAAACTGGAGTTACCCAACAGCTAGGTCCTAATGGGCCGATCATTAACGATGGTGATGCCACTAACCCTTTGGCTGAACAGTACTCTCGGACATTGCAACTGACCCATATTAACTATATTTATCAAAGCTTCATCTACAACTGCACAGGACATTCCGAAGTGGACCTGAGAGCTGACTTGGTGTATCAGAAACTGCAGCATCTTAAAAAAGACACCTCCTGGTCCGAATATGGTTCATACTGCTTTACTGAAGGAAGCGGCTTCAATCTTGGCGACACCGCTTAGAGTGCTGTTCTCACACCTTCTAAGCCGAGGCGCATTGCCGGAAATTCGGAAGCTGGCTCACATCACACCAACTTTTGAAGGAAGTCGACTCAGCGAACCTTCATGCTACCGCCCGGTGGCTCTCCTTTCCATACATTAAAAAAATATGGATTCCCTGATATGCGATGGTATACACGACTATTTATTATTTTTAAACTTCTTTTGACCCCAACAGCATGGTTTCAGGAAGGGTCATTCTTGTATGGCCAACCTGCTGACTGCGATGGACAACAATCCTTGATCGCAAGGGGAAGGTTGAGGTTATTTACGTTGATTTCTCTAATGCCTTTGGTAATGTCAACCGTATATGTCTTATCAATAAGCTCGAACGATTAGATATTATATCATCTCTGACAGGCTTACTTCATATCCAATATGCCGACATCTTAAGGTCAGGGTTAACTTCATTTTCTCTCGGGCTATGGTATGTCATAGTGGGGTCTCCCAGGGAACCTCTTCTTTTCTTGACTTCTATAAACGATCTTCCACAGCACGTATTGCCAGACTTATTACTTTTTGCTGATGATGTGAAACTTTGGGGAGAGATACGCAACCATGAGTATAAACTGGCACTTCAGGAGGATCTGACTCCATTTCAAAGTTGGACAGACGACAACGGACTTACCTATAACACTTCAAAGTGTAAAGAAACATGTTGTAGAATGCAGCTAAAACTTAAGCAACTCCACTCTGGAGGTATTCCAAACTGAAAAAGATCTAAGAGTATTGATACCCTACAATTTGAAGTCTTACGCTGAATGAGACAGCAATGTCTTCCTAGCAGATATTGCACTGATAACATTGAAGCACATTTTTCGCTGATTCGACGGAAGAACTTTGCACATGATCTTCAACAGTTTTGATCGACCTGATTACAGAGTACGGAAACATAGCATTTCTTCCCACACAGTGGAACGTATCCAACTGCGAGCCACAAAATCTGATCGGGACCTCAAACTTAAACCTTATGAGGAGCGCCTCCGATCATTGAACCTTTACCCTTGAGAGTACGGGCGTCTTAGAGGTTACTGCCTAATGGCTTATAGCGTCCTAAATACTTCTGGACATCTCCTTAAACACTTACTTAAGCCTTGTCCTAACACAAAACGTAGGGGTAACACATTGAAACTAGAGACTGAACACAGCAGAATGGGATGTAGACATACCTTCTATTCCTTAAGAGTAGTCAAACAATGAAATTCACTGCTGGCTGAGCTAGTACAAGCGATTTCTCAGGAGTCCTTTAAGAGAAAACTTGACATGTTCTTAAGGACTAAAGATAGTATCTTACAATGATAAATCAACTTCTTTTCTTTTCCCTCTTTTACCAATAATATACCTAGGTTCCTGCCTGGAGGTATTGGTGGTCCACTACTATTAGATACGGAAGCCCGTTAAGCAAGAGCTCCTTATATTCCTTCCAAAACCATTTGACCCATTTGGTTGTTGGGTCACAATTTCGAATGGTGCGTTGCGACTGTTGTAGTTTTATTTTACTGTCTTTGTATGATGCTGATAAAATAAGCCTAATTAATGATCAATATAACTTTAAAACCTACGATGTTTGCATATTTTTTATCCTCATTCATAATACGGATGAAAATTACCGAAGTTAGCTATACTTATGTTTCTTAAAGTACGTACTAGCTAACAACTTTATGGTGACCATTATTTATGGATGACTTTTCATTGAGATTGATGGGCACTGGGGCAACTCGCACCAGTTTTAATGCAAAAATCATATTAAACTACCTATATGAATGAATTTCGCGCAGAAACCCAAAACTTACTATCCTTAATTTCATTGGTTCTTCCGCAAATTATGGTCTCGCTAACTTATTTATTTGATTTCAAGAAACGTTGCGACACTAACTGCCAGTAAAATGGTGTGTGGTGAATTGTGACCAGTTTATATAAACTCAAGTTTGATTAGTGTCATACATGATTTCTCGAATAAGTGAGTAGACTTCTTTCACATCTGTTATTCTTGTCCAACAACATTCTAAGTTCACTCACAATAGAAGTGATCTATGTATGTATAGGGGGAATATTTGGTTATATGGTTTGGTATACATCCAAGGAGTGAAAATATCAGCAATAATTTTTGTTGCTGAATATGGACTAGACTTAACGTTTATTTATTTTGACTTTCAAACATAGGTTTCAGTCTTATCTCTGCTAAATTTAGGTGTTTGCTCTCGAAAGAATTCGCTCTGTTAGGTATTGATAAATTCCTCAGTGATATAGTCCATCTCAGTATTTTCAACTGTTACTCGAACGTGGCACATTACAACTAATTTATCTGGATTGTGATGATGGATTATTGTTTGGCTTCACTAAGTAGACGTAATAATGATATATCTGATGTTTTTACAATTGAGCGTAATTAGTTGAGTTCTGATAAGTAAGTGCAATTTTTTTCTGCTCAGCTGTAAAGTATACTTACTTGCTGGTGATTGATATCGTCAAGTTACCTAAAACGGAAATGAGAACGTGTTTAATTAAAAGCCATTTCGCTTGAGTTATTCATAAAGTATTTAATGTAATCTACCCGTAGCAGTAATCGGAATGGGCATTATAGTTCCATCTACACTTACAAATTACCGTCAATCACTGTTCTAAGAAATCATATTAGAGGTATTATTCTGATGCCATCGACTGAATAACATCTATAGCAAAGTGTTAAAGTAGGCTATTACGTCGATTTAACGGCAAATTACGGCGAACGTTTCGGTTCATATGTTTCATTTGATTTTGTGGTGTTTGGTTACGCTTTAAATACATATGATCTAGAATTTCAATCATACTTGTTTTTAACGAGGTCTCATCAGTTCTTTTTTAACAATTGTTAGCTCAATGACATGTTGATGCTCTTAACGTGTATCTGTTTAAACCACACTTCTGTCATATGTGTAAGCATTCAGGAGCTAAAATCATCAGCTGTTAACATTAAAATATAAGTAATAAATCAAGCACAGTGCTCGAAAAACTGGTTTTGTGGGTTTTTGGACGCCTATGTTTTTAGATCAAGTCTTCATCAATATGTCGCGAACTATGAGACAAGTTGATTATTTGAAATTGGCACTAAATAATTTAATCATCTGCCTACTTGTTATGTTAAGTTATATTTCCGAATGCCCACAATCAGTTACATTTTCTATCTTTATAAAACTATATTAATTCCTCGTTTCAAAATATTGTTTTTATATTAGTCTATTGTTGCTCTCAGACTTGTTTTACTTTTTTCGGTTAAAAAGTCTTTTGAATGTTTTGTTTATGCAGTACTCGAGATTAATGGAAGTTTTTGTACGAATGATTCTCTTTTGCTATTCTTACTTAAAAAGCCTGTTTTATGTTGGATAACACTGATTTCTTTAGTATGTTGTCAACTAATTATCTTTCAAAACTGCAATCGTACAAAATTTCAGATAACTAATTTGTTTGTCAATATTACCACAGGTTTAGCTGAACAGAACCATATCTCAAGTTGTATAACTTAATTATGCTGAGTTCTGAAAGAAAAATTGCTATCAAGCTGGTTCTTCTTACCATGTTTACTCAATCATTCTGGTCTGGATTTCAATTTCTCACGAACCAGTTTATATATTATAGGTTAGGTTTTACTAATAATAATTCAGATTCATGTTTTTCGGTAGTTTTTACATTTAAATATAATTAACGCTTAAACGTTTTACACTTTTTAATCTTGTCTAGTTTTTTTCAGATGTTTTTTTTAACAAAAAACAGGATTGCTTACTTACTTACGCCTGTTACTCCTCGTGAAGGAGCATATGCCGCTCACCAGCATTCTCCATCCAAGCCTGTCTTGGGCAATCCTTTCCAGCTCTTTCCAGTTGTTATTCATCCTTTTCATATCCGCTTTTATTTTCTGACTTAATTTGTTCTTTGGCCTTCCTCTTTTCCGCTTCCCTTCGGAATTCCAATTCAGGGTGTGACTCGTGATGCAGTTTGGTGATTTCTGTAATACATATCCTATCTATTTCCATCGTCTTTTCCTAATTTCCACTTCAGCTGGAAGCTGGTTTGTTCTCTCCCAGAGAAGGCTGTTGCTGATGGTATCCGGCCAATGGATATTGAGCATCTTGCGTAGACAACCGTTTATAAATACTTGTACCTTCTTGATGATGGTTGTTGTAGTTCTCTAAGTTTCAGCTCCGTACAATTGAACTGCCTTTATGTTCGTATTGAAGATTCAGACTTTGATATTGGTTGAAGGTTGTTTTGAGTTCCATATGCTCTTAAACTGTGGGAATGCGGCCTTTTCCATGCCAATCCTTACCTTTACGTCTGCATATGAACTTCCTTGTTCATCGATGATGCTTCCCAGGTATGTGAAAAATTCTGCATCTTCCAGAGTTTCGCCATCAAGTGTGATTGGTTTGCTGTTCTCCGTATTGTATTTGGGGACCTTGGTTTTCTCCTTGTGTATGTTGGAGCCTACTAATGTAGAGACAGCCTGCTGCTAAACTGGCTGTCTTTATCTGCATTTGTTCGTATATATGCGATAGGAGGGCTAGGTCATCTGCGTAGTCCATATCGTATAATTTTTTCTGAGCTGTTTATTGTATGCCGTGTTTTCCCTCAGATGTCGAGGTCTTCATAATCCAGTCGACCACCAGAAGAAAGAGGAAGGGAGAAAGTAAGCAGCATTGTCTGGATCCGGTCCTTACTTGGAATGCATCTGTCAGCTGTCCTTCATGCACAACCTTGCACTGTAGTACGTCGTATGAGTTCCAGATAATGTTGAAAATCTTCTCAGGAACTCCGTAGTGTCGAAGAAGTTTCCATAACGTCCTCCTATCTACACTGATAAATGCCTTTTCGTAATCAATGAAGTTGATGTACATTGTTGAGTTCCACTCAATTGATTGTTCGACGATGATCCGTAGTGTCGCAATCCGGTCTATGCACGACCGATCCTTACGCAATCCAGCCTGTTGATCTCGAAGTTGGACGTCTACTCCGTCTGTCATCCGGTTTAGCAACACTCTGTCAAAGACGTTCCGTGGTACTGACAGTAGTGTGATGCCTCTGTAGTTCTCACATTTGTTCAAATCGCCTCTCTTTGGAGTCTTAGTGAAGTGTCGTTCCTTCCAGTCCATCTGCACTTGTTCCTCCTCACAAATCTTTTTGAATAGAAGGTAAAGCATGTTTGTAGTTACTTCGATGTCTGACTCCAGTGCTTCAGCTGGTATGTTGTCGGGTCCTGCTGCTTTCCCGCTCTTGATTTGTCTGATGGCCGTTATGATTTCTTCCTTCGTTTATGGATTGACATCTATAGGAAGATCTGTGTGTGCTGCTTCGATGTCCGGTGGATTCATTGGAGCCGGCCTATTCGAGAGTTCCTCGAAGTATCCTACCCATCTGTTCCGCTGTTGTTGAATTTCAGTGATTGGCCTGCCTTCTTTCTCTTTGACCGGTCTCTCTGGTTTACTATATTTCCCTGCTAGTTTCTTCGTTGTATCGTAAGGCTGTTTCATATTTCTGTCTCTTGCAGCTTTTTCGCCGTCATTGCTAGTTCTTCCACGTATTTATTTTTGTTGGCTCTAATGCTCTTCTTCAACTGCTTGTTTGCTTCTATGTACTCAGCTTGTGCTCGGACTTTCTCTGCTCGTGTTCGGCTGTTGTTAATTGCTGTCTTATTGTTTTTCCTTTCTTTGATCCTGTCCAGTGTTTCTATAGAGATTCATTCCTTATGATGATGCTTCTTTAGGCTCAGAACCTCTTGACACGTTGAAGTTAATGCTTCTTTGATACCTTTCTAGTTGTCCTCCATAGTAGTTTCTTCTTCCTCCTTAGGTCCTGTAGGGCTTGGAACCTGTTGTTGAAAGCCATCTTGAATTCATTGAGTTTGTTGGTATCTCGAAGGAAGGCTGTATTGAACCTTTGCGGAGCTGTTTGTCCAGTTGTCCAGTTCTTTAGCTTCAGTTTTGAATTGGCCACAACTAGGTGGTTATCTGAAGCTATTTCATCTCCTCTCCTGGTTCTCACGTCTTCTATTGTCCTTCGGAACTTTTTATTGATGCAAATATGATCTATCTGGTTCTCTGTGGTGTGGTCCGGTGAGATCCATGTAGCTTTGTGTATACGTTTGTGTGGAAATATTGTGCCGCCTATGACCAATTTGTTGAATGCACATAGATTTGCAAATATCTCCATGTTTTCGTTCCTCTCTCCCAGTTGATGTCGTCCCATGACATCTTCGTATCCGGTTTTGTCTATTTCGACTGTGGCGTTTAGATCTCCTATCACAATGGTGAGGTTCTTTCTTGTGCACTCCTCTATGATTGATTGCAACCTATCATCGAACTGATCTTTATCGTCGTCATTGTTATCATTGGTGGGTGCATAACATTGATTGTAATTCCCTTCTTCTTTGTTTTGAATGATGCTTTGATGATTCTGGATCCGTGAGGTTCCCATCCTACAAGTGCATTTCGTGCTACTTTGGACAGCATTAGAGCAACTTTCTGAGTGTGTGGAGCATCTTCCTCTTCGTGACCGGAGTATAACAGCATCTCTCCCGTATTTAGCCTTTGTTATCCAGCTTGAGTCCAATGGGTTTCGCTGATTCCCAGTACTGCCAAGTTGTATCTCCTCATTTCCGTTGCTATTTGACTGGTCTTCTCAGTCTCCCAAATTGTCCGGATGTTCCATGTACCTATAAAAATTGTTGATCTGGTTGTCAGAAGGGGCATCGGCCTCGTGACTTCCAAAGGAACTCGGCTTTCACCACCAGGCGTCATAGTTTTTCCAGATGAAGACTTTCTAACTCCCAGGGCAGAGTTTAGATGGTTTGAACTATTTTTTCTGGTTATCGTTTTTTAGCGAGTTAGTTTTCTACGGACTGGGATCGCTAACACTATGTTCAACCCTCCTCCTTTACCCGGGCTTGGGACAGGCATAGCTCTAAAAGTGCTACAGGCGGAGTTAGGATTGCTTAGGGCATTTATTTTATTCCAGTCCTCACCTAAAAGAAAAGGAGAAAGTAAAAAGATAATATATTCAAGTAAACCACATATTATACATTATTACGGTGAGCATCTATTATTTATGTCTTCAAAGACTTGACACTTGTATGTCGAGTCTTGGAATTAATCTGAGGACAAAACTGAAGAATTTAGTGTTGGTATCCTGCTTTTATAACTATCGTTCATGATTTTGATACGTAAATGCTTTATTCGCGAGTGAATTTCTCATTGAAAATAGGGATTATCTTTTATTATATATTTTTCTGCTTACTTTGAGCTGACTGTTGTTTTAATCCCTGTTTCAAGACTTCTGAGTAAAAGTACTCATATTGACATTTCAGACTGATGAACTTGGTAACTAACCATTAAAAACACCCATTCCGAAGTCGTATTGTAGTGTGGGCTTTGGACTGCTCTGAGATGTCCAAAATAGTTCTATACAAAAGTTGCTAAGAATGCCTAAAACTCAATAAAAATGACTGTGTTTGATATACATAATAACTCTGTAGAGTTGTTCCTAAAATATTGTTTGCATAGAAATTCCTGCTAAATATCAGAACTGGACAAAATTGTTCCGTAATGTAACGAAGACGTGAAAGACTACAGAAGACTTATTAACCTCCAAATATATCAAAAATATATCTGAATACGCCTATTTTTGTTTCGTGTACACCAAACACATCAAATCTGAACGAATTAAACTGGATAAGGTTGAGTAGGTATCCTGAAATAGGTCAATTTAAAATTTAGTTGCTCTTCGTAACAATAAGAAAACAATTTGATAGAATCATGTGATTGACTTTGATAACGGATTTTATTTTAATAAACTAACTACTAAGACGTATTGGATATTTTTATATTTTTTTAGTAAGATTATTTATTTATCTCATTGTCTTACGTTCTTATGGTTCTAGGTTTCTAAAGGACGCAGGTCTACCCTACGAACCGTCTCCACAAAACAAGTATGTTGAAGGTTATTATGAGTGATTAGCTTGTTTAGTCGTTGTGGGATTAGTAATTATTTCAACCAGGGCTTATTTTTCCGCTGATAATTTAGAGCTTATTCAAAGTAGGAAGAAATTATTCGGTTGTTGTCCATGACAGTCAGTGTCCCGTGAGGTACTTCATTTCTTTTTCAACTCGTGTTAGATGTAGTTCAGAATACAGTTGACATGTCTACACCAACATATTCTATTATTAACACTTTTTTTCATGATCATACATGAATCAGTCATTCAAGTATCAGTGAAGCTTTGCTATATTATCATTTGTTGTGGAAAATGTCCTTTTTAACTTGGATTTCACATTGGAAGTTGACTTATTAGTTAATTAAGTAGTCATTAAAAATATACTGTTTTTACTAGGTAGGTGTTTATAAAGCATCAGTTTTCGAAAGTAAATGTGATATCTATCAATGATAAGGTGATATGAAATTTCACTAACGGGTCATATTTTTACATTTTGAATTGTTGGATTTCCGTGGCCCGACAGCAAGTTAGTGATTTACGTAGTCAATCATGGTATCGAATGGACAGAAAGACATCAGTTTAACTTAATAGAAAAAGATCTACCGTAGTTACTGATCGTTTTTGGTTTACCATGAAATTGATAACAAGTATTTATTTCCTGTTTTCCATATTTTTGTGTTCTAATGATCCACTAAACATTTTTTTCCTATCAACATAATTTTATTTCCCCAGTTTGATGTTGGTATGTATTTCGTTCACTGACCTCATCTAATGTCTTTACTATTTTGATTAAACTGTTTACCCCTATCGCACCCAACATCACTCATAAGCTGGAACTGTCAAGGTGTTTCATAACGAGTATGTGGTTATTCTTAGCATTTTTAGTGTTTTGATGGGTACTCTACATAGTTATTACCTATGTATTCTACTTCAAAGTACGTGAATATAGTTAAGTTAATCGGTGAAGAAGTCTTGAAGCTTAATGATACAGTATTTTACGAATTTGGTCATGCTGTTTCAAAGTAGGAAGAAAGATTTATAAGTATTGCGTAAAAACGTCGAATTGTGTTGTTAATTCTCTAAGAGAGAACACATACTTTTCTTTAAGCAGTAAACGTATCACCTTACATTTTAACGTATAGGTTTACTGTATCGTAGGCTGTAGTTCGAGAAACATTTCATACCAAGTCTAAGACTAGACAAAAGTTGTGCGCTCTGGAGGTAAACAGCTATTAACAGGACTATATTTTTTTAAACTTTACTTCAAAATAAAGTATTGAGTGACAATTGCGGTAACTTTTTTTCACTAATAGATCCATTCCTGATCAGGATAAAGAATTGAAAGATGAAGTTCAAAAGAGGACTGCACATTTACTCCCCTTATTGAGTGCTTCATTATTAATTCCTGGACTTTTGTCGTCGTTTGTGATCAGTTCACTTTCTGATCATTATGGTCGACGTGTAGCGATGGGTGTTTTGTTTGGTGGTTTAACTTCAAACATAATCGTTTCATGTAAAGTTATCATTTATTTTAAATTTTTTAAACATATATGACTGCATATTATTGTGTAGCATAGTCTGTTATTTTGTATCAGTTGTTCAGTTCATACAGAGGTATTTATTGTTTTAAATGTATTACTTTGTAATAATTTATGATTTTTCTTATAACCTATGAATGTATTCATGATTCACTCCATTAAAGGACCTAAACACTCTTGTCTCCTGATTAGTAAACTATAGATGGTGAGATTGTGGGATTATTTATACATTAAAGAAAATAAGGACTGGAAGTTTGTATATATTGTCATCCATATATGCTCTTCAGTTCATTTACTCCTGTGAATTTAATTACATCGGTTTCACTCATAAAACCTTGTCACTAAGTGTTTATGAACATGTCCCTTCACTGTTCATAAATGGGATGATCTCTGAATAGCATCATCCTTTATATTCTGGGCATTAGTGAACATCATATTACGATGCAAGGGAATATTGTCAGCTCTTAATCAGGTCCTGAATTAATTAATTTATACGATTCTATTGTAGTGAAGAAGAACACGGGTGAGGACAGCCAAATTGTATTTAGAGCAAATTACAGAATTACTTGGTAAAATAGAAAAACCATATAGTAAATCGTTAATTTGCAAAATATCATTCTATCATATCCATTGTCTCGCATTTCATTGTTCATGCGATTTCTTACAAATTCCATTGTTTTCTCGCTCTTCTTTTCTTGATCTTCTCCATCTTCTGCTGCCAGACATTGCGTTCTTTTGACTCACGTTATATACTACTTATATCAATATAAGTAGCATGCACCACACTATCTCTTAACCACGGTAAAAGTCATAATTCTTAATTGAACAGAGCACAATTTAATAGTATTTAGCGACTAATTGTTTTGAACTGCATCAGACAGGGTTATTCAAATTTTAGTCGTATCGATTATTTCAACCACAAATTATAAAATCCCAGTTATATTTACTAGCTTTTCTAGCTATTTCCTAGTACGAAACATTTTAGAAATGCACTAGATTTCTTCGCTTAATTTTATCATTGGTAAAATTTACATTATTTAACATTTTACATATTTTGTATTATATTCACATAAATTGTATTCTAGTGATTTTACCTGTGGTTTTGCTTAATCTATAGGTAACGCAGATATACACGCAGTAATACCAATTACCCACATTGTATTATAAGTAGCCTAACCGACGCATAAGTATATTTAGAGGCTATCTTAAGCAATGTAGTAACAGTTTTTGTTTGCTTAGTATTAGTACTTTAATTGAAAATAATGGTCACTTCCTATGTTGTAATGTTTTTCAGCGCTTGTGATTTTACTTGAACTGAATTTATACTTATTAATTCTGGGAAATTTAACGTGTGGTTTTCTTGGCGGAGGCTTGCTTACATTTTCAGGTCAAATTTCAGTTTGCTTTGCTGATATTACTAAGATTCCTGATGAACAAGAGCCATTATTGGGTAACTCTAAATGTCAACAAGCTTCATTGGAACGTCGACGACTTTCGTATATGGGAATTTACGATGGTGTTTGTGTTTTAGCAAGTGCCGCAGTGGTGTCAGTTACAGGTAATAATTGAAATACAACCTTATTTGTTTGAAGTCATTTTTGAAATGTTGATCTTTTCTATGCTTTAACTGTGACTCATAGGATTTGTTGTTTGTTAACTTCAGTCAGTTATGAATTTCGAATAGGTCAACCTTTTAAACTAAATATTTGTAGGTAAACAACAATGTCTTATTGATCGATAATGAATATTTTGAATTAAGACTGCACAATTCAATTTATGATAAGGTCAAGACGATTATTGTCTATAAAAATTGTCTGATTGACCATGTTGTTTGGTTATGAACTTAAGATGTTGAATCTAAATTTCCATCTGTTTTTTCGAAATGCGCTTATTCCTGCTATCAGTAACTCGTAAAGACAAAGCCCAAAACTCCTAATCACTTTGATTAGAGTCATGTATTTCTGAATGGTACATGAAGTTCACAGCTGTTTCTCAAATACTTTGATACCTATCGGTGAATAGACGTTAAACCTAAATCTGTAAAACATTTTCGGAATCTATAAGTAAAAAAAAGCTTACGCAGATAAATATAGAGACTTTCTATAGACAAAATTTGCTTTACACTTCAATTATGTGATTTAGTCTTTATTTTGGTGAGTAAAAATCCCGTAACATATGTCCTTGCTAATTTCAGTTTATGCAGAAAGTGAAAATTATCAGTAGCTTATCAATTCATAGGATTACTTTTCAGTTGCTTATTAATTTTTTTTGTATCTCATCAAAAACGTTAAGAATATTTTTATTGAAGTGTATCAACCATTTTTAACTGAGACTCTGATGTCCTGTTTGTTACTAGCGAAATAACTAATTGCTTACCATTGAGTTATTATACGAAGTAAATCCTCACTATAGACCAGTTCTATTAATTTAGTTTTGCTTCGATATTTTTATTTTGTTGAAGTTACCATTTTGTGACCCATGAAACTTGTTGTTTGCAATCATTTATATATTATTACCTAACCTATAAATAACTCGAAATTCCGGAAGGCTCTTGGGAAGGCTGTAATATACTTTGTACGAGCATTCCATTTATCTAAATTAATGGTTGCTCTGGTTGTCAGAAGGGGCATCGGCCTCGTGACTTCCAAAGGAACTCGGCTTTCACCACCAGGCGTCATAGTTTTTCCAGATGAAGACCTTCTAACTCCCAGGGCAGAGTTTAGATGGTTTGAACTATTTTTTCTGGTTATCGTTTTTTAGCGAGTTAGTTTTCTACGGACTGGGATCGCTAACACTATGTTCAACCCTCCTCCTTTACCCGGGCTTGGGACAGGCATAGCTCTAAAAGTGCTACAGGCGGAGTTAAAGCTGTAATATAACTTATTTATGAATATAGAACGGAAGAGTGGTGAACTTTACTTTGCTCTGTTAAACATAAGTATCATAAAACAATTTCACCTGTTGCGTAATCTGACTTTTACTCACTCAGTTAATATATAGCCTGAATATGACCCATAATTATACAACTATCGATTATCATTTGTAACTTTCACCTCTTCTTCATCTGACTGAATTCATCACGTGTAAAATTGATCATCCCACGTACAGCTTTCAATTTCGTCTTTTGATTCACTTTCCTAATATTCTTCCTCGTTTCAAAGATCCATCACGAGCTTATTAAATAAAGTATACCAAGCCATCATTTAAAACTTGATTATTGTGTGCTATAATTTTAATGTTCACAGCTAATGCGGAACCTTAAAACTGGATGGATTTTTTCTTTAGCTGCAAATCTTCTTGCTTTGGTCAAAATTGTCATGTGAACTGTGTTGTATGAAGTTGTGTTAAATTTATGTTGGTCAACTTCAATTCATCTACGACAAGCAACCTGAATAATATTACGTGTTCAGTTATGTAGATTTAGCTAACTAGTTAGAGGACTCTGTAGTGCTATGTTAAGCACACACAGCTTATTCTAGCTTCCGGACAGGCCAATCTATTCATTCTTCTTGAGTCATGTTTTGACCTTGTTAATTATTCGCTTATCAACCTTGACTGTTTTTATGTAAGCACATGTGTGAAATTCTTGTTCTGCTCATCACATGTCTGTAACGTATTTCTATCCGACTATAAATATCGATTAACGCGTGATTAAATTGAGTTGACTCACATTCATTCTCCGTCGCTCGTCATTTCACTTCACTCTCTTCTCTTCGCTTCTTTCGTTTCGTCTCTCTGTCTGTCTGTCCAGATCAATGAGTGTACAAAATATACACGTTCAAAATCTATTCTCGTATTTGATTTATTTAATTCCGTTATTCACTAACGCAAGTTAAGCCGATGACTATCTACGAGGATTGGCGACATGTGTATGTTTCAGTAATAATCATTTATACGATCTAAGTGATGTCAGATATAAGGCCTCTAAAGTGATGAGCCCATCTATAACACCACCCGATCTAATTGTTGTCAAAATAACGGGCCACTAAAACTCAATTTCAAATTATTATTTTAAAAGTTGAAACTGTTCTATTTAATCGTACCTCAGAATAGATTTTAACAACAGTCATTTTTATATGAAAAAATATGATTTATAATTGAGTTCAATAGATGAGTCTCTATTTGGATTTCAGAGTTAAATTGTTTACTCGGGATATTTTATATTATCTGTTGGCTTTTATTAGAATAATTTTCTAAGCATATTCCATACAAATCTCAGTTTAATATTATTTAGAGAATGCTTATTTTCGCGTATTTTTTTTCTAAAATAATCCTTATAATCTTACTCAGTAGTTGTAAATAAAAATTGTTGTTAACCTTCAATTCTATATATTGTTTTTTAGGTGTTCTTATTGACCACTATAGTTTCATTACAACTTGTTTGATAATGTTATTTCTTTGTTTAATATCGGTGGGAATGTTATGGTGTTTACCAGAAACACAATCTTTCAATATACAAACAGCTGATATCTCTTCTTTTAATAATAATTTCAATAGTAATATCTCTGTGTGTAATACAGAATTTTATTCATCTAATCAGTCAGAATCATATAAGAAAAACTGGCTTTTGAAGTCAACCGAGATGATTAATGTAAGTTATTACAAATGTATTTTCCGGTTCAGAGGTTATCAATGACAAGCACTCACAATTTACACGAAATTGAAGTCCATAAACCTTAAGGTTTTGTAATGTGCACAATACTATTGAATAATGAGGTTACATTTTCAATTCCAGTTAACTTTAACTGATCAACAAATTTATGTTAGTTTGTTAAGAAAACCATAACACTAAAGATCACAACATACTGCAAATTTTTAAAATTATAGGGCGTTTGCCATATGATTCTAACCAAGGGATCATTTTGTCGATTTCTTGTGAGGTAGATGTTTAGAATGAGAATTAACTATCTACTCTTCAATATCCATTGGCTTAAAGATATTCCTGCTTTGTTTGCAAGTTATAGAAAATTAATATTTTTTGCAAACCTTTTTTGCTTATGTAGTTTATTTACTCCCGTTTTATTATCTCTACGTATGTTAACTTGAAATGATCTAGATTTTCTGTTTAGTATCATAATTTATCTTCAAATGAGTCAAACCTTTTTAAAATAACTATCAATTATATACGAAGTTTTTAAGAGTTTGCACTTATCTAATGTATCATTTGATTAGGTGATTGTATTTCTAAATTATGTAAGAAAGTGATAGCAAATGGTTAAAGTAGGATAACTAGACATTGATGATAAAATTTTTGTACTGTCAGTTTCATCTCATGTTTCTATTTAATGATCAGCGACATCCTGTTGCACAAAATATTCCGTTGTTGAATTAGTCAAAACCAATTGTCAAATCAATTTGTTTGTTGTGATTTTATGTTTTCATCATAATCTATGTAAATATTGGTATTTTTTCCTGAATATTATTTCTTTTCATTCATAGACTAAGCTATGCTTCCTGTTATTCAGTTGCACAATGATATAAGAAGTTCTGATTGAAGAAGAAGGATAACTTTTATTTGTTATTGACTGATTGTATCATCAGTATAGATCAGTTCAGATTATCATATTATCATCCAACCCGTCATTTTGGAAAGACAACTGTTTATTAGGTTTACTGATTCAAAAAATAAACTCATATTTGTTTATAGAATACCACATGTTTTAGTCATTTTGGAAATAGTATTGTTTTTCAAAATTCTAGCCTTAAGATCATACATAAATCCAAATTGTTATTTAATGTTGATAAATTAAAGTACAAACTGAAATGAACTCACTAGACTGGTTACAGTAGACTATAGACTCATATTGCCAAATTTAAAAATGACAGAAACAAAATAGATAACGTTAAATTCTTTATACTGTTATCTTTTATGAACATTAAATAAAAGATGAATACTTTTGTAGTTCAATCTCGTTATATTCACATTGAGCTATTCATTATAGTTCGGTAAAGTTTTGTTTATTGAACGTTTCAATGAAAAGTATCATGGTTAATTTTTCGCTAATTTCTTAATATACAATAAAATATTTCGTCATGGGAAAAATCAATCTAAACATATCAGAATTCACTACAAATCTGATATTTTCCTTCTTTGTTATATTCATGTTGCCGACCAGTAAATACAATAATATGCGAATTCAATGAACACTGAAAATGGTGAACTATTTGTATTTTGATTATTTGAAAAGGCATTAAATGATCAGTCATAGAAGTATATCACCAATTAAACTTCATTGGTTATTCCTATTTCCTAAAGTTACATTTATGCACTTCGGTTTACATGATCTACCTTTTGCACTTGATATGCTACTTAACAAGGATGCAACATGAAAGACTCGGTTAAACCACATATATATTGGTCTATGACCCAGTTTTTAGTAACCAGTATTATCATGTTCAGTAAACGTATAATTTTCTTTCAGTGTCTCACTAATTACCACTTGTAAGCCACGATTTTTGTAAAGTGAAAAAAAGTGTTAATCAAAGTTAGGCTTATGGTACAAAGTTGAAGGGTGCTCATCCTAAGCCTTAAGGATTTTGATCAGATGAATAATAAATTAGAACTAGTTAAGACGGTATATTAAAGTTCAAATCACTTCCGATATTTTTTTAATTTTCTCAGTCACTATTTGACTGCTATGGTTACGTAATAAAACCATAAACGCTTTCGCATCCTCTCATTATTCAATTAATCTCTTAACTTTTCCCGCCAAATAATTTTTTTTGAAGCTGAACAGTTTGCTTACAAATACAAAAGAAGCACCACAGATGCTGCTATTGTTCTGCATTACAATATAGTGTTAAGCCTGGAATTAGTAACAAGTATGTCCGATAAGCATTTCTAGACTATACTCATGCCTTTGACTCTATGCTATGACAACTACTGCTTAACAAGTTTGTCAAAATCAACATTGAAATCTGGATAACCAACTGGCTGTGTTCCTATCTTTCTGGAAGAGAACAGTACAGAGTATTTGGAGGAAAGTGTTCAACGTCTTTGCTGACCCATCAAATTGTGTCACGAGGAGCACTTTTTTTACCCTCTTCCTTTTTCTATTTTTCTTCATGACCTGCCATCTCCCACAGAAAACACTTTTGCTGAATATGCGGACGATCTCACTGTATGCATGTCGATTTCTACCTCTCCACATCCACTTGAAATGAATGAGTTCTTGTCTCTTGTTGAAGTATAATCTGTTGTTAGTTGTCGCACGCCTAATCCTTTTAAATGTCAAAATGTTAACTTCAGCCTGGGGTAAGAACAGCGTTCAAATACCCCATTGGAATCCTATAAAGCTTTTACTATTGGAGATTCTGTGGTGAAAACTGTGTCGATGGTCATTTATCTTGGTCTGCGTGTTTCCTCTGATCTCTCCTGGTCTTCTTATGTTTGTGTTATCGAGAAACGTTTTCCATTTGACTTACTATATAAAAGGGATACATTTACTTTTACGATTTGTTGATTCTTGTATAATATTATTTTTTTTACCTCTCCCATTACACTTTTCCAGGTTTTTAAGAAAAGATTTTGCAGTATTGCGGGGAAAGCTGAAAGCAGTTAGCAGGATATATAGATTTTTAGATAGATATTTAAAATCTTTCAAACCCCTAACAGGTGTTATCAGGTACTAACGATCCACTTGATTTATATCTTTCTTCTTGTATATCATATGGTAAGATGAGGCGTCAATGCATTACAATCCACGAACTCAAACAAAGATATAAATGCTCTACAATACTTAATCTAACAAATATACTATGTGATAAATAGGTCGTTAGAGTTTACCTAGTCAATAACTTGTATTCTTAAACATGTTTCTAATTGAAAGGTTGTACAAATCCTAATCTTAGTAAAAAGCATTTCATTTAATTCCAGGTAGTTTATTTACTTAATTTATTCATATGTGTATGCAGTTATCAGTTTTTCGACTTCGTTTTCTTTTTTTTTTGTGAAACAAACGTGTTGAAATAATTTGTGCTAAGAATTTCATATTGTTGAAGACATAATGGACATTCAGCGTACATCTTAAGAGCAGTTCCTTTAGATTATCGTCAGGCAAGCCAATGTTGATTTGTTTTTCTGATATTTGCTTGCATATAAACTCAAAAGTCTCTATAAGTGGTACGTTGGTGAAAAAAGATACTACATCCACTGAGATCATATTTTTCATACTAACATTCATATTTTCCACTTTGGAGGTGAAGTCGAAGACATCTTTTACACTATTTCTAGCAACTGATTTGTGCAAAGGCTCTAAGATTCACACTAGCCACTTTGCAATTTTGTGGTAAGGAGAATTGTACATATCTTAGGACTGGGCGTAGAGGAAGACCCGGTTTATGAACTTTAGACAAACCGAACAGTCGTGGTGTATATGATCCAGTTGGCCTAATTAAATCATGAATGTCAGTCGTAATTATTCCCTTTTTCTTTAGATCTTTAAGGAAATTAGCCAATTGTTTTTCTACTCTATTATTGATGTCATAATTACTAGTAACTTTCTGAAATTTGCTAGGATCACTAAGCATTGTTTCCTTTTTTTTCGATGTAATCCTTTTTATTCATGAGAACTATACCTTCTCTTTTATTTTTGTCTTCAACAATACTTATTATAGACAAATAGATGGGATAGTCATGGGCTTACCTCTAGGCCCGATTTTAGCTGATCTCTTCCTAGCAAAGTTAGAAAATGGACCTCTTAATGAAACTATTAAGAAATTTATATTGTACCAAAAATATATTGAATAAAGCCATTAATAATAATAGTAAACGTCCAATAAACTGGCTAATTAATAATATAATTTTCGTTATATCCCAATCAGTAGAAAAATTGTATTTCTGACATTTCGTGACTTAATGCACGTCACTTCTTTAGAGTAAATAAAGGTTTTTAATCATAGTGATAAAATTCAATTCTGACTAAAGTTTTTAAAAATTTTAAACTACTCAAATATCACGGTATTATTCTTATTTATTTTAGCTAGTTCGAAATGCCAATATTATCACAGTTTTAGTCTTAACAGTTTTGTTCTTGACAACATTGACTACATATAATGAAGGTCAATATACATTTTTATATTTAATGGGACCTCCATTCAATTGGTCTGTTGATCAATATGGTTATTTTAGGTAAGTTAAATTATAATAGTTTACATAAACAATACTAATATGTCTAATTGTAATATACAAAATAACATACAAAGTATTTTTCTTTTATTAGTGGATTAAATTCTACTCTCCTGGGTTTACTGTCGTTTGGATTAACTTGGATTACTACTCATTGGATGAAAGTTGTTAAACGGCATCGGATATCTGAAGCATCAGAACCTTTACTTACTAATCAATCAGTTTCCGGGTACAATTCTATTCATGAAGTTGATTCAATTGATCATAATAATAACATTATTATTAGTAGTCCATCGACTATAATTATTCAAAATGAAGTATTACGAGCACGTCGACGTATGATAAAGTATGTAATATGTGGAATGATTGCAATTGTGATTAGTAAATTGCTTATGGGATTAGCATTTTTGTTTCCTTCACCTGGCCATAATATTGCCGTATTTGTTAGTAAGTTTTGTTGTTCAAAAGATATATCTGTGTATTTTTTGTATGTGATTTCTGTTTAAAATTACCGTACTGTTTCGTAATATTTACCATATTACGTAATTTAATTAATTTATATACAAATAATGAAAATGTTAAAAGTTTTATTATCTTAAAAATAAGTGAATTTTTGAATTTATCCAACCATAGGACATTTTTTTGAATATTTTATCTACACCACAGTTGAGTCACTTCCCAGATAGCTCAGTGGTTACGTCTCTGACTGTGAAGCTGGGTGACACGGGATCGAACCCGTCAGGGAGCACCAGTTCCCTCAAGATTACAGGTACACCTTGCTGACAAGTGCCAAGTAGCACGAAACCCGGGTCCAGGGTTTCCTGTTGACTACCTCCAACCACCATCTAAACGGCTTCTCTCTGTTTTGCTGAAGCGATCGTGATAAAAAAAATCAAAAAGAGATAGCAATAAACTTACTACTACCCTGGCAATCCATTTTTCTTGGTCACTAGTTTTATTTTGTTAATGTTTAGTCTGTGTTATATTCCTCTTCCATTACTGAATTCTTAAACCACCCCTTTGCTCTTGCATTTCCACTCACTTGATTCACTTAAATTATGTGAACTCTTCAAATTCTATCCAATTATTACGTAACCCATCTTATCAGTTTTTATATTCCATGAATTTTATGTAAACCCTTTGTTACCTCTAAAATTTATCACACAATTTATCTGTCTCTGAACTCCACTCAACTATTACACCACTCATCCTTAATGTTATCTTGACTCTAACACCAAATAACCTCTGACCTGTAATATATATATATATATATATATATATATATGTAGTTATCATTGATAACCTTTGTCATTCCAATTCTTTACATTAACTTATGTCAATTGTTCCATACTATTTCTTATCTCATTGTAAAACCCGAATACATATTTGGTTGCAAGCACGATGAGAAACCACGACATATAATGTATTCATATTATTCTGCATCAATATTTGTTCTGGCTTTATTTAAATTCATAAAGGGAACTAATTGCATGAAATTTATGAATATCTTAGTCCTCCAAGTGATCATTTGCTGCGACTACACTAGCGCAGTGATTAATGTAACATAGCAAAGTTAAATGTAAACTAGTCTTTTAAATAGCATTGAAACAAGTAGTTTATTATTATTATTGTTATTATTATTAATTATTAATGGCTTTATTCAATATTATATTTTGGTACAATATAGAAATTCTCAGCACAGGGTATTTCAACAAGTTTCTTACACAAAGAAATAGAAACAAAGACAAAAAAGGAAAAAACGGTTTAAAAAATCTGTTAAACTCTGGAATTTTTCAAATTAGAGACATGTTAAGAATGCAGGTTATTGACTAGGTTAACTCTAACAGCCTGTTCGTCACAGAGTATATTTACTAGGTAAGGTATTATAGAACTTTTATACTTTTGCTTGCGTGCATGGATTTTAATGCAATTACGTCTCGTTCTACCAGAAGATATACAAGGTGAAAGATAAGAGTGATAAAATAACACCTGCCAGGAGTTTGCATGACTTGAGATGTCTATCCACAACCATATTAATTATGGCCTCGAAAGATTCACCACACACCTTGCTAACTGCTTTCAGCACTCTCCGCAATACAGCAAAGTCTTTTCTTAAAAGCCCGGGAAAGAATAATGGAGAACAGTAAAGAATAATAGGTAATATGCAAGAATTGACAAATTGTAAGAGTAAATGACGAGTAATCCCAAGAGCATGCAATCTCTTAGTGTAGTAAGTCAGACGGAAAACCTTTTTCGATAACAATAAAACATGGGAAGACCAAGAGAGATCAGTGGAAAAAGTGACACCAAGATAATTGACCTGCGACACTGTATTTATCAAACATTCTCCAATGGTACAAGCATCATGGGATCTCAAAATGGTGTTTAGATGCCGTTCATGTCATGCTAAAGTTAACAGCTTGACATTTAGACGGATTAAGTATGAGACCAACAATCAATACGAGACAAAAACTCATTCATTTCTATGGGATGTAAAGGGGAAGAGATAGGCATACATACCGTGAGATCATCCGCATATTTCACAAAAGTGTTTTCTGTGGAAGATGGCAGATCATGTAGAAAAAAGGAGAAAAGAAGAGGTCAAAGAACAGCTCCTTGTGGTACACCTTCATGAGACAGTAGAAACTCTGAACACTTTCCTCAAAATAAAGTGTACTGTTCCCTTCCAGAGAGGTAGGAACATAGCCAGTTGGTTATCCAGCTGTCAGTGTTGACGCTGATTAACTTGTTAATTAAACGTTGTCTTGCTATAGAATCAAAAGCTGAAGTATAGTCCAGAAAAGCGCATCGAACATACTTCTTACCCTTTTCTAAGTTGAACACTATATTGTGATGTAGAACAGCGACAGTATCTAAGGTGTTTCTTTTGCATCTGTAAGCAAACTGATACGGATCAATATGCTCTTTTATCGCAAGCTGAATGGAAGTATTAACAATTTTTCCATTGTTTTGAGGAAGGGTGAAGTTATTGCAATAGGTCTAAATTTCACATTTTTATCACCAGATGCTTTCTTGGGTACGGGGATTATCTTCAGCCTTCTCCACATTTTCGGTATGAGATTATATGAGAAGGATCTGTTAAAGATAGTCGTGAATGGATAACATAAAACGTCAGCAAATTTTTTAAAAAGGAGGTTTGGGATACCATCAGGTCCCAAACATCGAGATGAATTAAGTGACTGGAGACATCTTCGGACATCAGTTTCAGTGAAACTAGGAACACAGCTATTCTTTAGATCTGTGGATGAAGGGAGTATTACATCAGATGACTGACGCACAAAAGACTTATTTATGTCATATACATTCAGCTGGTTATCGCTCCTAATCTGTCTGTCACCTATAAGTTTTTTAAAGAGTTTCCACATACTTGGAGAGTTTTTGAGTAAACATAGAGTTGAGACCATTTAGCTTACGAATTTCATCAGAGTTTTTCTCCTTGTACATTTTTCTTTCACCCTCCGTAGTCGTTTTAGTTGTGAAGATGTAAGTCGATCAAAACTTACAAAAATGGTTTCAGTGGGACAACAGATATCAAAACAGAATTTAAGGTAACAAGTGATAACATCAGTAGTGATTTCTAATAAGTCATCTGTAAATAATTCCCAGTTAGTCGTATGAAACATGTTTTTCAGATTTCGGATATTTTCTTCTGAGTAATTCCTATATTTGACTTTCTTGGTTTGATGTAAGAGTGTACTCTTCCCATGCTTTCCATATACTTTAGGTAGAACACGAATTATACAGTGATCCGAGCTAGACAATGTTGCACGTTTACGAGTCACATATATACCCACATCATTGATGAAAACGAAGTCTAAATGAGCATCCAAACGAGTAGGAAAATCTACTACGTTTTGGTGACCTAGTGACGTAAGGAAGCTACAGTCACATGAATTGAAATCACCACATACAACTGAAAGTGAATCACTGAAGGCAGTAACAGCAAACTCAGTGAATTCATCAGTGAAAACAGATAGTGCAGATGATGTGCAATCTGGAGTCACGTAGAAATTGGTAACATAAACATATTTGTATTTATTCAGATGTTTTGGACGACATCTTAGAGTTAGACAGTCGATAAAGTCATTTGAAAACTTGAAACACGCAAATGAAGATCGACACCAGTTCACGCTTACAAACGTATCTACACCGCCGCCACATCTCCTTTTATTGTTTGATCGATCCTGACGATAAATTTTGAAATCACGTAGTGGTACTAGGCAGTCGTCCTTTAAATCATTTAACCAAGATTCTTGAATTGTGATGACACCACAATGACGATACATATTTTGACTTAGTAGGAATTGAAGATAGTCCACTTTGTTGATTAGTGATCGGCAGTTAGAATTTAGCAGCTCGAGAATCGACATACGACTAATGTTCATTATCTTTAACGCATACTGCCAAGCACCACGATGATGTCTTTTAAAGTACTTTTTGTGTAACTTGTGCAGCGAAAGGTCGTAGGCTTTTCATAAACGCGCCTGTATAGGTTATGTGATTAATGGACATAATTAGATGTTAAAACAAAATGAAAAAACAAATTACTTGTTGAAATAATTAGATGGCAAAAACAGGTAGCCCAGATATTCAAGCAGGCCGCCGTTAATATAATGCACTAGTTTAATTATTTCTGTTTATTTTTAACTGTAAGTATATAAAGTTATATTTTTGTTCTACAGGTCTATTTGTATCTATCTTTCGATCAGCTGTTGTACCGGTGCTCAAATCATTCACATCATCTCTATATACTTCCAAACTTCAAAGTAAGTGTTTTTTTTGTTTAAATTATTTACACTGAAGTACCTAACGAGTGTAGTGTTTTGGTCATGTGGCGTACTAAGATAAAGCCAGGAAATATTAACAACAACAATGTTTTATAGTAGGTTACAATTAAGAAAACGAAGGAATGAAACAGTGGCGTAATGTTTAAGGCGTTCAACTGTAAGCTAATAAGTTCTATGTTCAAACCCTATCTCACCTACTTCTGTTTGAGCAAATGGGTAGTATTATGAATCGTCACACTTGGAGTGTGGCCCCTATCTAAGTACTTGGAGGATGAAGTAATCTAAACAATAATTAATTAATTAATATTCTCATTGTTTGTTAAACATTCTGCCTTCAAAAACATTTTTAACGTAGTATAATAAATCACTTGGCAAGATTGTCAGTGTTTATCTACCCAAGTTAGCAATTAGACAAACATATAAATATAGAATCTTGTGTATCTGTTGAGTTTTCATGTCAAAAGAAATGAACTTTGGCGAATGCAAGTCGATTACTAACATTTGGAAGATTTAGATGAAAGCTAGAAATGGATGTACGTAGGAGATCGTGATGTCATTTGAAGTTTCCAATCACGGAAATCACAATATTTACGATTGTTGGAATGAATTTATTACATTACTGATTTCGTCAGTATTTAATTGTGATTATTGTCTGTTATTTCAGCCGTTGTAACGAAGAAATTATTGAAGAATCTAAAACTTGTAAAACTATTTTTCAAAATATTATTGTTCATATTTCTGTTAAATGATTATTAAATGACTAGACTTTTATATTTCTATATTCTATTTATTGTAAACTGCCGTAGGGTCTATTAATTATTGTTATACATTTTACCATCTCCGAGTTATAATTCATTGATTATGTGCCGTTTACTCTGTTCTCTACCACTAATAGTAGGATTGCATGTAATGTATAATTCCTCATTTGGGATGTGTTATGGTCTTATTATTCATGTTTATGAACTATTGAGTGTGATATATAAAACTGAGTCTCCGTAATATACTTATGGAAGCTTCCCTACTTATGCTTTTATATGGGCTTTAGACTAAAGATAGAAGGATTGCATGTCGTTGGAACGATAAGAGTTAAGATTACCACGACATCGACTCAATATTAATCTTGCCAATCGAAGTGTAGCAATGCCTAGAACGCCAGACTATAAACAAAATAGTATACGCAGCGTACACACATTCGAATCGAGCTTGTTGTTGTAGAATCTTCTATAGATATATAAACTAATGTCCATTTATAACACTAGCTGGTTTATATTTTTGACTACTGTTTCACATTACCTGTAGAAGGTTACCTGTTCTAAAAAGCAGTTGAAATCACATGTTAAAAATGTTAGATAAAGGGACTAAAATTCAATCTTCATCAAACAGGTACATTCATTCTTCAAGTATTCATCGTGTAAATTATAGTTATCTTATTGTATAATATGAATCTTTTTTAATTTCCCTTATTGTTAAATTGTTTTCAACCTAGTAATTATTTTCATGTTTCAAAGTATTGTATCATTTCTCATTTAAATTCACTTGGTATTGTTTACTTGAGTCTTCCCATTGATGTTAAGGACCGCAATTGATCAGTCTTTTATTGGCATATGTGCGTACTATGCATACTGCCTCGATATCACCTTAACCCACAAGCATTCTAAGCAAAGATGGATAGTGACTAGCAATGGAGTCTAGGACGCGCTTTTCATACTGTTCGGAACTTGTGAACATCAACTCTGAGATGCAGGTACATTCAGCTGACGAGTTCCAAATAGAACGAAACGTGCGTCTTGGATTCCACTGCTAGCCACTATCCATCTTTGGGTTTCTCATTTAGTTTTATTTGTTATTTGTTTCATTTGTGATGGCATCCTGTTTCCCCATCACATATATATGTATATGTTTTGTCCACTTATTCATTCATTAATTTATACAATGTACTATCATTAATATAAATACTTGTTTTACTTTAGATAAAGTTAAATTTTCATGTGGTCGATGTATTTTGTATCATCTGTTATTTCAGTTCACATTTATTCATTTCTTTCTACTACATTGGCACTAAATATTTATGTAAATATATATATATATATATATATATATATATATATATATATATATATATATATATATATATATATATATATATATATATATATATATATATATATATATATACTTTTGTAGATAATGTTTATACGGTGAATTTCATAGAAAAGACTACTAAAATTTGTCAAAATCAAGGTTTGCATAAAAATTCTCATTTTTAACCTGTAAGCTTTATAAGAAATAAAAATCTTCATTTTATACCATTGATAACTGTTATATATGACCTTTTTTATTAATGGCTAATTAAATGAAAAGCAAAGAATATCATAGAGAGAGAGAGAGTCTTCGAAACTTTGACCAGTTCATGTATTCCTCTTAAATTGATTCTTTTTTATGGAGTTGTCCATTCTTCTGGAAAGGAGGACATCAAGGAAATCTAAAATCTTTTCATGTTCCCTTTCACTTATGAATTAACTAGCTTTATTGTATTACGTTATTAGGGTTCGATACGGGCATACACTACTTGTGAAATTAGGAAAATAATTGAGCTACTCTAATACTATCGGTTCTCTTTTTAATCGATAACGACAACTTACACAAAACACCTTAACACCTAACGGCTAATTCAGAGAGAAGACGAATTTGAGGAACAACTGTTCGACAGCTCTTATTTATTGATACCATTGCCGTATATGATTAGTTTTTTATCTGAGTGTTGATAGTATTATTCGAACTTATTCAAACTATCAATTACTGACCCGTTCTCCAGTTTTGCTAGGAAATTGTCGGTGATTGTCAAACCTATGGAAGTGCCCGTTGCTATTCTATCTATTTGTCTGTAGAACTCATTGTTAAGCTTATAGTGTATATTCGATACCTGATTCTTTATCCAGTTGGGAGTCACTAAATCATCGTCTGGTTTTATTTTTCGGATGTTTTCTCAATACTTATTAGTTACTATGTTTTATATGAGATGCTTATTGCTTTTAAACTGACTAGAACAGTCGATCATTTTCATCTTTTTTACAACTACAAAGTCTTATATCCGGATTAATACAATCTCAAACTGAACACCTTTCTTCAAATGCCTCACATATCCACGCCTATCATAAAACTTCTGACCTAGTCATCGTCTCTCGGTGTTTCGGAATGGCACGAACCAAACAAACTGCTCGCAAATCAACTGGAGGTAAGGCGCTTCGAAAGCAGCTAGCCACCAAGGCTGCGCGCAAAAGTGCCCCAGCTGCCGGGGGCGTGAAGAAGCCACATAGGTACAGACCTGGAACCGTCGCACTCCGAGAAATCCGTCGTTACCAGAAGAGTACCGAACTTCTGATTCGCAAACTCCCATTCCAGCGTTTGGTCCGAGAAATCGCCCAAGACTTCAAAACCGATCTACGATTCCAGAGTTCAGCCGTGTCTGCTCTTCAGGAGGCCAGTGAAGCGTACTTGGTTGGACTGTTTGAAGATACAAACTTGTGTGCTATCCATGCTAAGCGTGTCACTGTCACAGAAGCGATCGATAAATAAACGCTGCTTATCCAAACCCTGCAGTTACACACGTTACAACAATTGGTGACGGGGTAAAGAAAATTCTGAACCCTCTAATTGGACGAGATTCAGCATAATTATTTTGACCAATCAGTGTCCAGATTTGTCATCGGCGTCCTTGGGAATCATTGGTTGTTAATCTATTGCAGTATTTCTCATTACCCTGCTGACTCAGAAACGACTAGCCTTCCCGATCAATTGCAGCTACTACTAGATCGCCAGCAGCAGCGTGTTTTGGACTATTTACGAACGCGACGGCTAGATCTCCCATGTTTCGGAGATGTGAAAGAAATTGATGAATTCATTTCTCACTTACATACTGAACTCGAGAATGACTGCAGGACATATGAATATAAAAACAAAAGCCTCTATGAATCCCTTATGATCAGTAATGCAAATGAGGCAGTCGCTCATAATCCGTCCAGCGATCCAGAAGTGCCCAATTCAGAAGCATGTTCTGTTGTGGGTTCAAATCCCACTGTGCCTGAAACATGTGAGGTATCCAGCTTACACGAAGAACCTCTCGTGCCAGAAAATGTTTCCCGTGCATCAAATAATGGTCAGAAATCAAATACAAATTTCGAAGATGCTGTTTATATTAGTGACCTATTACCCACTGATGGAATTTTGGAGAGGTCTGAAGAATATGTTGCACCAAAATCAAACCTTAATGACCTCATGTCTGGTGTCGCTAATCCGCATCATCTAGTCAGTTTTAGCGAACCCTCTACTCAATGCGCGAAATATGCTTTAAATAGAGTCAGATTAACTGTTACTTGGGTATATGAGGACCCAACGTTATTTCGAGGGGGAGGACGGACGCAGAAAATTTTGAAATCCAGATATTAACTCCTGATCTTTTAAAAACTGGGAGGTGTTAGGATAGTCGGAAAAATATACCAATAATTGTCGTGTTAAATCTACGGCGGCCTTGAACCTTAAATGTACATTTCTTATTGGTCGATGTTTATTTCACTTGTTAAATATTTTGTAAATGTTGTTTCCTATTTTATGGTACGATGTGGTATGCTTGATTGGTATATAAACAAAGTATGTTTGAAATATAATGATTCATAACTCCGAGGCTGTGACTTGTGTTCTTGACTCAACTGGCTGGGACAGACAGCGAAGCAAAGCCAATCAGGGCACTAGGTCGTCCTTATGTGTCACTGCCACAGAAGCGATCGATAAATAAACGCTGCTTATCCAAACCCTGCAGTTGCACGCGTTACAACAAACCTCTATCTAGAATATCAAAAATATCTTTAAATCCGTATCGGTTTTCAGGAAAGTTAGATTCATATATTTTAGCTGTTTAGCCCCTTGATCATATATATTCTTTTCTTGTTTCCCCTTATTCGTTATATGCCTAAAATATATTTCATAAATGGGTCGTTTAGATTTTAAGGAAGATCCTCAATACCATATAAACTCGGTGTAAGATTTTCTTTTTATTTAATAATATACGATTAGAGCGGTTCACTGCCGTGAATTATTATTGTATTTCTGATAGATATATTTTTTGATAGTGATATCACGTGTCTTATTGTTGTTATGAATTATATATTTTCTTTCTTTTAGGTAGCTTATTTTCTGTGATTGCACTATCTGAATACTTGAGTCTTCTTATTGGTATTGGTAGTTTACCGTATATTTATGCAGCGACGGTAACATTTTGTTCGGGTGCAGTGTTTTTTGTCTCATCAGGATTAGCTTTAATTGCTTTTATTCTACTTTTGTAAGTTTTAAAAAAAATTATTTCCGAAAGAAATAGTGTTCCTTTCTTTCCATTTATCAGTAAACTAATTTATTCAAACTAAATAAATTTGTTATTAAATAGTTGAGTTCATGGGTCAATTCAAGCTTGACCACTATGAACAACCTGGAAGCAATGGACGGCCAATTTTCCTATTTTGGGACTCCTCAACAGTGCGCATCCACGATCCCGCTCGCGAGATTCGAACCCAGGAGTTTTGGTCTCGCGCACGAGCGCCTAACCCCTAAACCACTGAACCGGTATCCAATGGTATTAATGTTTAACTTTAACCAATCTACGAAATTGATTATAATTAGTTAAAAGAAATTTATGATAGTTTAATGAATGGATAAAATTATGGCATGATTCGTGATGAAAATAAATGATATTTTTACAGAACACTTTATTTAGTATATAAATCTTATAATAAAAGTGACTAATATTTTTTAATGTTTCTATTTCTGGCTCTATTTTTCGTCTTTATTACTGCAAATATGATGTTTGTTAACTCTTCAGTATAGTGCGGTATGTTATGTAATATGAAGAAGTTGTACAAGCAATATGCACTAGAAAATCTAATTTCATTTAACTGTTGTTAATAGAGTAAAAGTAATGTAATTTGTTTACTTTTCCTTAAAAAAATGATCACATATTGGTCTTAAACATATTTAGTATTATGAAATCTTGAGTAAATGTTCCTTAGAGCATTTAGCTTTCTATTAATTGGTTGAAGATTGGAATTTACCTTTAGCCTACTTTGGTTTTGGCTACCTCGTAGTATTTTATATTCGTTATAAGAAAACTATAATTCGGAGGACAATATCTGAACTAGGCTTTTGAATTACATCAAATCTTTACTGTACTTAACTAGCATGATTACTAGAAGTCATTTAAAAATTGTTCTTTTGAACGATTTTTCGACCATATTTGTATATTTGGTTATTCTCTATTTGTATCAGACGTGGTTTTTCGCAGATATTTTAGTGATTCAATAGTTCAGATCATGAGTCAGTTGGAACTAGACCACCATCGAAAAACTGGAAGCACTGGACGGCCGTTTCGTCCTAGAATGGGACTCCTCAGCAGTGCTCATCCACGACTACGGCTCGCGAGATCGGAACCCAGAACCTAACAGTTTCACGCGTGGGCATTCAACCACTAGAACACTAAGCCTGCATCCGACGTTGTTAGTGTCTAGCTTCAATCAATCCACGAAATTCAGCGACACATCCACCATTGTCATCAGGAAGTTACTATCTCACAACCGACCTGGTTGAACTCCACTGGTCATTGCTTCTCACTAGAACTCCAGGAATTACCTCTTGAAGCCAGTCGCTAGTGAACATATGCTAATTAGTATGAGAAGGGAAGGAGTCCCACAATAGGACGAAACGGCTGTCTAGTGCTTCCAAGTTTTCCATGATGATCTAGTTTCGATTGACTCATAATCTCAACTATTAGTATTCTCTATATATTAATAATGATAATAGTTGATAGGTTGATTTGAACTCAACGTTTACGTTATATCGACATTAATACACTAAATTCAACTACTAATTAATTCACTTCTCAAGAGGTCTATACAATATACTAACATTTTTATTCCTTTTACGTATTCTTACGTAATTTACAATCTAATAGAATAATTGATCGAATTCATGTGTCCTTCATATATATCAACAAATATGTATGTTTAGAAAACATTTAATTGCACTCCAGTGCATTTACTGTAATAAATGCTCACCAATGTAATGTAATAATTAATTTAATTGAATCTATCTACGTTTTAGTTAAACTTTTATTGATTACCTCTATCGGTTTACTTTTATCCTGTTTATTTTTCTTCGTTCATTCAGATACATTTCACGTTATACTAAAAAAGAAATAAAGAATACTGATTTCAATCAATCGAATATTATCGAAATAGTAGATACTGTTAATAGTTAAAAACAAGTAGAATCATTGGACTATGAATATGATTATTGGTTATCCTTGGGATCTCTCTTTTCGTTTTCTTTTTATGTAAATAATTGTTTTCTTTTTGTTGTTAATTTTTACAGCTATTTTTCTTCTTTTAAATGAATCTCAAGTAAACTTATTATACCTTTTTTTGAAATGAAGAATTTAAGGTTTGATTAAACTTTGGCTTTATAATATAATAAATAAATTTTATTTATAAAATAATTACATAAGACATTTTGATTTACATCTATGATTAAGTTGGACACATGAAGGTATGCCACATGTAAAAGATAGAGATGTGTGAATTTGTTTTTAAAGAGGTGTGTTTCATAAATTGTTTCGAATGAATATTTGTTACAGAGTTTATAACGATGTAGAGTGGTAGTTGAAAACTAGTATACTCTCGGTTCAGTCAGTCAGTTAGCTACAACGTGGGATCAGGCATATAAATACATCGGTCCAAGTCGCCATACCTCATTAGCACAGCAAGGTAAACACCGGATTCATAGGAGTGGTTAAGTCAATGGTAGTAATATATAAAAAAAGATTGCATACAAAACATAGTACATGAGGAAAGAATAAGTACGTAGAAAGAAAGATATGAAGTGATTTTAATCTCTTAGTTTAAGGGAAGACAGAGAGTGTATACACCTACGTCATTGTGATCGATCCTGAGCCATGTCACCAAGAGTCTCCAACCATTGGTTACGATAGTCACGCGAACCCCAACCAAGTAGTCTGCATCTACCAACGTGGCTCAGACTAGAAGTTAGTGTCTTCAAGCACTGATGCCACGTTTCGGTTTGACCGCACCTAACTTTCTTCCAACCATCCCCAACACCGGTTATCATTGCACGTCGTGGTAATCAGTGTTCGGGCATACGTAACACATGGCCCAACCATCTCAGTTGATGATGATTCACAACCTCATCAACTGATTTACCATCATTCCCTAATACCCTGCGTCTAACCTTACTATTACTGACCCAGTGACTATAGAAGATGCAAGCAATATTTCTAAGACATCTGTGATCAAATACTATCAATTAACGAGTATCTTCTACTCTAAATGACCATATTTCGCAGTCGTAAAGTAGAACAGAACAAACTCTTGAGCAGTATACTTGTCCTTTTATTGATAGACGGATATCTCGCCTTCGCTATAGGTGATGTAAGTTGGCAAAAGCCAAACGAGCTTTCTGAACGCATACAGAGATTTCGTCAGACAACAACCCATTAGGACTGATCAGACTTCCAAGACAAGTGAAGTTGTCAACGCGTTCGACTACTTCACTCCCTATCCTTAGTTCAAGTGTTGACGCAGACCACTTCTGAAGCAACAACTCGCATTTAGAGGGATAGAAACGAATCCCAAACATCCTGGCATTGTTGCTCAGTGCTACCAAAAGACTCGGTTGGATGATTGGGATATCATATGTAAGGTTGGAAAAATGTAATGTAGTACAATTTCAACAGAAACATTACCTTAATAAGTATGTTATCATATATATATACCTGACTATTTTGTGACGTACTGACTTAGATAAATTCTATTGAAACTGAGTAAATTCGCTAGGGACAATGTAAGAATAAAATATCAGTGGAAATTGATGTTTTGTATGTATACTCAATAACAAAAGTGATAAACTCACAATCTCTTCATACTTTTAACAATCGAGTGTGATATATTCATTGGTATAAGCAAATTCGTTTATATGTATTGTACTGAAATTGGAATTGTGCGACTAAGTATTTAAAAAGCTTATTAATTTGTACAGAAACCACAGTTTTACTAGTTTGTACTTGAGAAAACGCTTGGAACACCTTGATGTGAAGCTAGGATTTTGCCTTTTGTTATGGCTAGAACTTGTGCATAGACAAATTTATGCTGTGAAATTTTGTTATTGTTTTTATATACATACAATAAATTACGGTTGAAATTGATGGGGATGGTCAAATTGTCTTCTAATGAAATATAATTCACTGACAATATCCAGAACTTTAAATTAATTGCATCCACAATATTGATAGGATAAACGTTGCAACATGATATCTGATAATTGCGTTTTTGTAGGAATCTACCTGAAAGTTTGTACGATGGCCCACATCAAATTCAGAGCATTGTAGACATATATCAAGAATGTAAAAACTGTTTAAGTGTAAACGGCTGCACAGTGGTTGGAAATATTATGCGGAACCGCTTACAACTAGTTATATTAGGCCTGTAATTTTGATTTAACTCAACGGGATACAACACATAATCCCGAAAACTTCATTCCATCAATAAAATGTTCGAATGAATCGTATTTGGATATTTTGAGGCACTGCTCGGTATGTCTTCGTGAAAGTAAAAAAAGAACTATCAGTCTGTATTTTATTTGAGAATCTGTTGTTTGTCAACTAGACGTTTTTGAACGGAATTTCCAAACATACGTTCAATGTAACTTATAGCGTAAATTTACCGGATTGAAATTTCATGACAAATCATTTCCTACAATGAATTCACTTTTCAAATTTTCTGCATGCTGAGTGAGCTATTTCCAAGTAGATCACTTGAAAATGAATTCAACAATTTATCCTTTCATATTTCTTGACTTTTTTCACGATTATTTTACAAAAGTCTGACAATCTTAATAATCGAATTTCCAGTTTCTTAATAAGAATGACAGTTTTTTAAGGCTTCGTTATCATGTTCATGAGATCAGTGCCTTTAGCGAGCTCACTAAGGATCACCGTAACGGAAAATTATGTTTTACGACTGCACGACGTCAAGTGTAAATTTGTTGCTAAGAGAACTCTTCGTTGAACCAATTTTCTTGTTTGTATGTTTCAATCGGTGTATTCCGTCTATTGTGGATGTTTAGATTAAACATTCGTTCTTCAAGTTCCAAAACGTTTATACTTAACTCCTTCCGATAGATTCACTTATTGATTTGAAATATACGGATGACATGGTCTTGTTCGGTGAAGCCACTGGCAAAATGCAAGTTTTGTGATTGACCTGAACAACTATCAAAGCCTGTGTGCGATGCGATTTTATCCCTCCACGTGAAAAGTATGGCCAGAAAACTGGTTTGTTTCAACGCCTAAACTAGTGATGGGGAATAAAGTAATTGACCTCGTCGACTATTTCACTTGCCTTGGATGTCTCATCAGTTCTGGTGGGTTGGTGTCTAACGAAATCTCTACACATACATAGAAAGCTAACTTAACTTTGCCAACTGGCATCCTTTGTGGCCTACGAGAGCCGTCCGTCTGCTAACCAGAGGAAGAGTTTACCGGGTAACAGTTTGTTATGTCCCGTTTTATTTATTTAAAGAATTCTCTCTTAAAAGAGGATACTTGTAAGTTCCTAGTACTTGATCATGGGTGCCATCAAAGAATTGTTTATATGTGTCAGGACCATTGAGTCAGTAATCCTAATATTAACAGCAGGCATTAGTTAATGATAAAAAATCTATTGATCGGACAAAAGATCATTGGGCGAGATGGTTCGGACTTGTATTATATGTTTTTTTCTTCATTTTTCCGGTTTATATGTTCATTTAGATCCATACGTTTTCTCAATGATCAACCACTAAAATCTCTACTACTCTGGTTTTTATCTTGACGATTTAATTGCCCTTTGCCAATCAGAGTGTGGGACCTTCAACCAATGTACATATCTATCAGGCTCTACGTTGTGTATAACTAGTTTTTCCCAAGAGACAACATACCTACTTGAGATTTATTCTAACAAATAGGCATCATAATATTCCTGACAAAGTGGATAATATAGACATCGAACACGATTTTAATCTGGAATATTACTTAACGCTAGTCACAAGTTGTTGCAGATATTTCAAACTCTGGTTGTTCAAAATAAGATGAAAGTATTGAAAATTAGTAAATGTAACATCGAACCACATATATTTGTTACTGAATGATTTATTGAAACAACATATGATCATATATGTGAAAGAATAGACAACAAAAACTAATTTAACCATGCCATGAAGTAGCCATCATAATAATTTTAAAAATTTCATTTTATTCGTCATTCGAGAAAAAATGATGTTGAATAACTTTTCGAATAAGAGCTATCCTAAAATGTGGGAAATAACTATCTTACAGTTTAAGTAATATTAAAAACAAGTGTTGTTAACAAGGTGAAGTAGTTTGGGAAAAATTTGCGTGTCATCATAAAAAGGTTTTGTGATATCTACTGTAGTGTGGAGTCAAGTCGCGGTTGACTGTGATCACCACTACAAGAAGGTTGCGTACCAGATATCAGAAGGCGTTAGGAGGTTGTAGCGATAGATATTTGTTGGCGATCTCGTGGTATCGAAAGAATACCGAGATCGTGTCAAAGGAGTACAAGCGGTATCACTAAGCAAACGTAAGTGCGTGCAAGGTTACAAGCAACGGAAGAATGTATGTCTTTAGTACAGTTAAACAAACAAGTACAGTACAACAATCACTGGTAAAATTGGTTATGATAATAATTGTTTCCATTGAACCAATCGAGTTCTCTTAATACAAGTAGGTTGTAGTGACTCACGTTTATCACGAGAACACGACTGGTTTAATAAAAACAATTATTATTATAACCAACTGTACCAGTGTTTGTTTTAACGTGCTTTTGTTTGACTGTGCTAATGACAGCTATTTTGTGCTTCCATTCTTTTACTTACACTTTGATTGTAACTTCGCGCGGATTCGGTTACGTTCTGTAACCAAGCTTGTATCCTGGCACGATCTCGGTATCCTTTCGATGCCACGAGATCGCCAGCAAATAAACATCGACTTGGTCCATTAATTGCCTTCTGATATTTGGCTTCTCGGGGATTTTATGGATCTATTTGGTTACGTCCAACTTATGCCTTCTGATTCATTTGGCACGTGTTTCTTGGTAGCGGTGTTCATAGTTAATCTCAACTCGACGCCACGCTACAAGGTCACTACACTACCATGAAATCTACCAATCTTTTTTTATGTAAAGCCTATTACATTATCATTCATTTAGCAAGATAAGTTATAAAACAATTCCATGTAAATGTATTCTATAGGTACTGCTAACATTAAGAAACACATAGATCCTCGTTATAATGTTTATAAAAATAAGCTGAAGAAATACATGAATCAGACATTATAAGTTTAGGTGAATAAATCATATGATCCACAGTTTAATCCATTTTTATGGTGTGATCGATGTATTAGGCTTAGTTTAAATATAACATAAT